TGGCGCTTGTCTTTGGCAGTTGAGGGCTCCAGTGTCAATAAGGGTGGTTTCGCAAAATCAGTCTGTATGTCGCATCTATATTAATCTATGACATTAGTGACAACGATGTTGGTGTTTTTGGTGACAAAATTGGTAGTGCACAAATCGGCAACAAAAATTGACAAAACCGATTTTTTTGTCTTAAAATGCACTTTATTACGTAATTCACGTCAATCTAGTCTTAACACAACCACCATAAATTGAAAAAATGACACGGATAAACGATTAATAAGACACACTGACGATGAATAGTGACTTTAGCGTTTCTGGTGGTACAGGTTGGTACTAACAAATTAACAATAAAACAATGTTTTCCTTTTTAATGAAATTTATTATAAAATATACATCAGTTTACACTCAAAAATAGATCTTATAAATGGCAAAAAAAGAAAAATGTTGCGAGGACCATGGTTATAAATTGATAACATCAAAGTTCAATATTTTATTATAACAACAATAAATTATTCGCATTCATACCACAAGCCCTTGAAATGTTTGAACAGCAAATGATTTTGCAAATCATCTCTCTGCTTTGTTTTATAGTCACACTGATCACAAGTAAACCACGCAATTTTTTCTTCAGATGTGTGCTTACTTATCATGTGTCTTTTCAAAATATTGTTTCCCTTGGTTTTGAAATCGCAGCTGTCACACTTCTGCCAGTTCACGAATTCTTCAGGAGTATGTTTAGATTCCATGTGAAATTTCAATCCTGCCTTATATCTAGCTCCAAAGCCACAATGCTCACACCGGAACCATGTAATTTCACGTACATGCTGCAAATGTTTTTGCAAATCGTCTCTCTGCTCTGTTTTAAAGTCACACTGGTCACAACTAAACCACTTAATCTTTGTTTCAGATGTGTGCTTCATTATTATATGTCTCGTCAAAATAAGGTTTGCCTTGGTTTTGAAATCGCAGCTGTCACACTTCTGCCAACAAGTATGTTTAGATTTTATGTGAGACTTCAATGATCTTTTATATTTAGTTCCAAAGGCACAATGCTCACACTGAAACCATGGAATTTCACCTAAATGTTTGAACTGCAAATGTATTTGCAAATCGGATCTGTACTTTGTTTTATACTCACAGTGGTCACAACTAAACCACTGAATCTCTGTGTCAGATGTGTGATGACTTATTATATGTCTCTTCAAAACACGTTTTGCCTTGGTTTTGAAATCGCAGCTGTCACACTTGTGCCAGTTCACGAATTCGTTACGAGTATGTTTAAATTTTATGTGAGACTTCAATGCTGCCTTATATTTAGTTCCAAAGGCACAATGCTCACACTGAAACCATGGAATTTCATGTAAATGTTTGAACTGCAAATGTTTTTGCAAATCATGTCTCTGCTTTGTTTTAAAGTCGCACTGGTCACAAATAAACCACTTGATCTTTTCTTCAGATGTGTGCTTACTTGTCAAATTATGTTTTCCTTGTATATGGCTGGGGTTACAATGGAACGTATGTTTCAAAAAAAGGAGCAAGGAATGTGTCCAAAAACTACACGTACATTTATAACTGGGGAGCAAGTACTTCAATACAGGGCGTTTGTTTAGTCGTTTGACAGTATGACAAGTTCCGATATGTTTCTTCAAAACGACTTTTAAATCCGTGGAAAAGTTGCAATGTGGGCAGGAGTAGACTTCGAGATCCATATTTTCACAGTTGAAACGTTGATCCTCACCACAACCATTATTCACAAATTTTGATGGAACAGCTGAATTTTCCAAATTCGACATTTCAACTAACTCTCACGACTTAGCAAATAATTATTATAGTACTATTTAAGTCTGTGCTTACATTTCTTCACAAACAAAACACCGACATAACCTCAAAAGTTGCAGTTCAAGCATAGATTAGTAGTGAAGCGTCATAGTTTAAATTAAATGACGGTTGAGGACTCCTGGACTTATGTTGGCAACGTTGTTTGTTTCTAACTAGGAATAAAATTAACTAGAAAAAATGTCACAATATTTTTAACGACACGTTTTACTTTCGACAAATTGACACTAGATTTACCAGAATATTAGAAGCTGCTTACTGTTTCCTTCATTTTAATTCAGGTCACACGAATTACAGTTCGTCATCTGAGAACTTGTTTGATCTACAGATCAGAGCGCACTCAGGCCAATGTCGACTCTAAGCGTTAGGAAACGATTTGATTTATAAGCCATGATCCGTGATCTGATACATATCCTAACCGGTTTCGACCACAATTTCTGCTGTTTCAACTTTCGAATTCTCAGTTTTTCGAAATTTTAGTTTGGGGACTTTTCACTTTACTCCTATTTATTATTCAATTTTTGGATTTTACAATTTCTCAGCTTTTCAATTTCTCGGTTTTCAGTTTTTCTCTTCAATTTTACGATTTCTAAATATTTCAATTTTTGACTTTTATAATCTCTTTATTTTTCGATTTTTCAATTAATTGATTTTTCAAGTTTTTTGGTTTTTCAATTTTTCTATTTTTTCAGGTTTCGATTTTTTAACTCCACTTCTTTGATTTTTCAATTTTCTAATTTCTCAGTTTTTGGATATTTCAGTTCTGGGATTTTTCAGTTTACTCATTATTCAATTATTCGATCTTACGATTTTGCAGATTTTTCAATTGCGCAATTTTTCGACTTTTTAAGTTCTCAGTTTTTGGATATTTCAGTTTTCGGATTCTTCAGGTATTCCATTTTTCAGTTTTTCTTTAATTTTTCAGTTTTTCGATATTTCAGTTTTGGAATTTTCCAATATTTCGATTCTTCGACTTTTCAAATTCCGACTCCTCGATTTTTCGATGTGTCGATATTTTTAATTTTTCGATTTTTCAATTTTTCGATTTTTTAACTTTTAAAATTTTAGATTTTTCGATTTTTCATTTCAGTTCTTCGATATTTCAATTTTTCAAGTTTTCAAATTTTTCAAATATTTCAATTTCTTAATCGTTTGATTTTTCGACTTTCCACTTTTAGATTTTCTGTTTTTCAATTTTCGATTTTTTAATTTTTCAAATTTGAATTTTTAAACTCTCAATTTTTCGATTTCTCAATTAATCGATGTTTTGATTTTCCCATTTCTTGACCTTCCAGTGCTTCGATTTTCCTGTTCTTCAATTCTTTAATTTTTTGATTTTTCAGGTTTTTGATTTTTCAACTTCTCGATTTTTAAGGTTTTCTTTTTCGACTTCACTTTTTTGATTTTTCGATTTTTCAGTTTTTAGATATTTCAGTTTTAGGATTTTTTAATATTTCAATTCTTCGGCTTTTCTATTTTTGACTTCTGGGTTTTTCGATGTGTCGACTTTTTACTTTTTCGATTTCTGAATTTTTGGATTTTTAGATTTTAGATTTTTCAGTCTTTTGATATTTTAATTTTTCAATATTTCTTAATCTTTCGATTTTTCGACTTCCTGGTTTTAGATGTTCTGTTTTTCAATTTTTCGATTTGTTAATTTTTCATTGTCGATTAATTTTTTTATTTTGGCCTACTTCGGTTTCTCAGTTTTTCCAGTTTTCCATTTTTTCGTTTTTTAATTTTTTCGCTTTTCCAATTTTTTTACTTTTTTTTGTTTATCGATTTCTTTATTTTTTGATTTTCCGACTTCATCACTTTTCGATTTCTCGTTCTTTTGATCTTTCAATCTCTCAATTGTTCAATTTTTCGAATTTTTAAGTTTCTTGAATTCTCGATTTATCAAGACTTGGATTTTTCGATATTTTAATTTTAACTTTTCGATTTTGTCTGTTTCGGTTTCTCAATTGTTCGACTTTTCGACTTCACGATTTCTTAATCTTTTGATTTTTCGATTTCTCGGTTTTTCGAGGTTTCGATTTTTCAGTTATCCGTTTTTAAAATTTGGGAATATCGATTTCTCGATTTTTACTTATTCGGTTTTTAAATTTAGGATTATTGAATTTTACATTTTTTCGATTTTCTGATGCTTTATTTTTCGATTTTCAGTTTTTCGACATTTTAATGTTTCGGTTTTACGATTTTTTAAGGTTTCGATTTTCCATTATTAGATTTCTCGATTTTTCGATTATTTTAATTTTTCACTTTGTTTCTCACTGTTAATATCATACAGTGTATCGAAAACAACCACAAAAATTGTCACTAAAAACATTTAAAAATTCATACAAAATAGAGCACAGTGTTTCCAAATCATTTTCCTGAAAAAAATTCATTGGGTTATTACGATTTCAACAATATTCTTAGTTTAAGACGTTTTAAAAGTATAAAACACAAATAAAGAATTAATTCTTAGTTAAACAAAATATGTAAGATCGTCTAAATATGTACCAAAAATATTCACTTAGTCGTTATAAAAACCGACCAAACAACAATTTCCGGCAGAAATTATAGTCCAAACCAACCAAATCGCTTCTGAACGCTTAGAGTCGACATTGGCCTGAGCGCGCTCTGGTCTGTAGATAAAACAAGTTCTCAGGCGACGAGTTGTAGTGAAACTAGTTTTTTTATTGGCATCGACTATTTAAATTTGGCGCTTGTCTTTGGCGGTTGAGAACTCCAACGTCAATAAGGGTGGTTTCGCAAAATCAGCCTGTATGTCGCATCTATATTAATCTATGACATTAGTGACAACGATGTTGGTGTTTTTGGTGACAAGGTTGGTAGTACACATATCGGCAACAAAAATTGACAAAACCGATTTTTTTGTCTTAAAATGCACTTTATTACGTAATTCACGTCAATCTAGTCTTAACACAACCACCATAAATTGAAAAAATGACACAGATAAACGATTAATAAGACATAGTGACGATGAATAGTGACTTTAGCGTTTCTGGTGGTACAGGTTGACACTAACAAATTAACAATAAGACAAAGTTTTCTTTTTTAATAAAGTTGATCATAAAATATACATCAGTTTACTCTCAAAAATAGATCTTATAAATGGCAAAAAAGGAAAAATGTTGCGACGACCATGGTTATAAATTGACAACATCAAACTTCAATATTTTATTATAACAAGAATAAATTATTCGCATTCATACCACAAGCCATTGAAATGTTTGAACAGCAAATGATTTTGCAAATCGTCTCTCTGCTTTGTTTTATAGTCACACTGATCACAAGTAAACCACGCAATTTTTTCTTCAGATGTGTGCTCACTTATCATGTGTCTTTTCAAAATATGTTTTTCCTTGGTTTTGAAATCGCAGCTGTCACACTTCTGCCAGTTCACGAATTCTTCAGGAGCATGTTTAGATTCCATGTGAAACTTCAATCCTGCCTTATATCTAGCTCCAAAGGCACAATGCTCACACCGAAACAATGGAATTTCACGTAAATGCTTCAACTGCAAATGTTTTTGGAAATCGTATCTGTGCTTTGTTTTATACTCACAGTGGTCACAATTAAACCACTTAATCTCTGTTTCAGATGTGTGCTGACTTATTGTATGTCTCTGCAAAATACATTTTGCCTTGGTTTTGAAATCGCAGCTGTCACACTTGTGCCATTTCACAAATTCGTCACGAGTATGTTTATATGTTATGTGTGACTTCAATCCTGACTTATATTTAGTTCGATAGGCACAATGCTCACACCGAAACCATGGAACTTCACCTAAATGTTTGAACTGCAAATGTTTTTGCAAATCGGATCTGTGCTTTGTTTTATACTCACAGTGGTCACAACTAAACCACTTAATCTCTGTTTCAGATGTGTGATGATTTATTATATGTCTCTTCAAAACATGTTTTGCCTTGGTTTTGAAATCGCACCTGTCACACTTGTGCCAGTTCACGAATTCGTCACGAGTATGTTTAAATTTTATGTGAGACTTCAATGCTGCCTTATATTTAGTTCCAAAGGAACAATGCTCACACTGAAACCATGGAATTTCACGTAAATGTTTGAACTGCAAATGTTTTTGCAAATCGTCCCTCTGCTCTGTTTTAAACTCACACTGGTCACAATTAAACCACTTAATCTTTGTTTCAGATGTGTGCTGCCTTATTATATGTCTCTTCAAAACATATTTGGCCTTGGTTTTGAAATCGCAGCTGTCACACTTGTGCCAGTTCACGAATTCCTCACGAGTATGTTTATATTCTATGTGAGACTTCAATGCTGTCTTATATTTAGTTCCAAAAGCACAATGCTCACACTGAAACCATGGAATTTCATGTAAATGTTTGAACTGCAAATGTTTTTGCAAATTGTGTCTCTGCTTTGTTTTAAACTCGCACTGGTCACAACTAAACCACTTGATCTTTTCTTCATATGTGTGCTTACTTGTCAAATTATGTTTTCCTTGTGTATGGCTGGGGTTACAGTGGAACGTATGTTTCAAAAAAACGAGCAAGGAATGTGTCCAAAAACAACATGTACATTTATAACTGGGGAGCAAGTACTTCAATACAGGGCGTTTGTTTAGTCGTTTGACAGTATGACAAATTACGATATGTTTCTTCAAAACGACTTTTAAATCCGTGGAAAAGTTGCAATGTGGGCAGGAGTAGACTTCGAGATCCATATTTTCACAGTTGAAACGTTGGTCCCGACCACAACCATTGTTCACAAATTTTGATGGAACAGCTGAATTTTCCAAATTCGACATTTCAACTAACTCTCACGACTTAGCAAATAATTATTATAGTACTATTTAAGTTTGTGCTCACATTTCAGCACAACAAAAAACAGACATAACCTCAAAAGTTGCAGTTCAATTTCATTCCGATGAGGGCGCCTCTGTTACCAAAACAATACCAATTGAAAAACAACAAATTTATTAAATATAAAACCAAACAACACATTAAAAACTTCCTAATTGCACCAAAACAATAACATAAACCTAATAAGAATACTGAAACTGAAACCAGCTAGTCGACCAGAGCTCGATCCACATGGATCCTCTTCTGGTGCCTTTTCAAGTGACTTTTCTCCTTACTTTTGTACTCGCATTGCTCACAATTAAACCAGTTGATGTCTTTCACGTCCGTGTGCACTCGCATGACGTGCGACCTCAATATCCACTTCCTTTTAGCTTTGTAGGGGCACTTCTCACACTCGTGCCACTGAATCGCAGCCCTTGCGTGCTTCGACATTATGTGATACTCCAAATGAGACTTCTGCCGCCCTTTATACGGACACCGGTCACACTCAAACCACCTGAAATCCTCTTCATTAGTGTGTCTTCGAACCACATGGTTCCTCAAAACCGATTTAGTCTTAGCTTTAAATTCGCAGTGGTTGCACTTGAGCCAGTTTATCTCATCCGCGCGCTTATGTTTAGCTGTCTTGTGGGCTTCCAATCCCGATTTTTGTTTACTCTTGTAGGAACAGTGCTCACATTTGAACCAGTCGATTTCTTCCGGAGCGCCGTGGTGCCACTTGACGTGTTTAGATAAAGTGTACTTAGTAGCAGTGGCAAAAGTGCACTCACTACACTTGAATTTGGCGTCCTCATGCACCGACCTCCTATGATAGTACAACTGGTGTTTGGACTTGAACCACGTCGAGCAGTAATTACACTCAAACAAAGGCATGTTCAAGTGCATGAGTCTGTGATTTTCGAACACCGTTTTCGTCTTGCCTTTGTACGGGCAGCGGTCACATTGAAACCATTTGATGTCTTTATCGGGGGTGTGTTTGCGGATTTGGTGGATTTTGAAGTTGTTGCGGTACTTGGTGACGTACGAGCAATGTTCGCACTTTAACAGGGGTTTGTTTTTGTAGAGGGTGTGCGTGGTGGGGTGCACCTCTTCGGGGTTTTCGAAACAGTTGATTACGTGCTTGAGCCACTGCAACGAGAAGTGCGTTTCGAAGCTGCAGTTCTTGCAAACGTAGGTCCGTAAAGAGTACTTTAAAACCGACAGGAGTTCGATGTTTTCTGAAATTGCGGTGTGGCAGATCTGGAAATGTTTCTTCAGGAGGAGTTTCACGTTTGTGCCGAAGTCGCACGCCGTGCAGGTGAACACTTCGAGGGGGTTTTCGCAGGAGAAGAACAGCGACGAGATGTTGTTTTTTGGACAGAGGGCTGGGGGTCCAGATGGACAGTCGGTGCAGGTTTGAATGTTCTTGTTGATTGCATTGGAGTGTGAGGGGGTCGACATTTTTCAAGGGTCTGTACGTTGGAAGAGAGTTATAATTATGTGTTGCATTTAGTTTGACTGTATATTTACCTAAATGTTGAAAAAAATTATTTAAATTGGCAGGGTATATTTCGACATAACCTCAAATGTCACCAGTGTCACCTGTCAGTTTGGGGCAAGTTTAGCGGAGTTCGCATTCTTGTGTATTCAAACAAAGTGGCTTACAACAGGATAATTGAAGAAATTGACCTCTCGCAAGGTTCCTCCAGACTACATTAAATAATCAGATGTGTATTATGTGTTGCCTAACTCAAATTATATGACTAGAATTAGTTCGACTTCTTACTAATTAATTAAATTGCTTTTGTTGCACTAACACCAAATCGGTGAGCTGTCGTTATGACGTCACGCACATTAATCTCTATAAAGTTGACTTTTCGGTTTTGTGCTTACAATTGGAACTTTAAACTCAACAACAATGATGTTCGTTTCGTGTTCAAATTGGACTTGTATTTTTTTTGTGAGATTAATCAATGTTATAATAACACTGGTTTTGAAGCTTTTTAGAAGTACATATTTTGATTTGTAGACCAATGAGATGTTCTTCAAGAGTTGTAATATTCATGAAAACGATCAGTCGAGGCTAGTTCAACTTTTGTAAAATTTAGATTCTGCTGTTTGTCGATATAAAATTGACTGTTCAATCAGGATTTTGTTCATTCAAAAAGAAAAGAGGTGGGTGGGCGGGGCTAACTTGTTGTGTTTACATTCTATTCTAGTAAATATTTAGCAAAATAAAATAAAACCTTGGTAATATTCTACCCCCATAAATAAAACTAAATTATTATTCATCTCTAAAGTGAGAGGGGGGTTAAATTTTGCTTTTCTTTATCTTAAATTCCAGTATTTGCTAAAATAAGGTGAAAGGAAATATAATAAATCCTTCAAATAGAGAAGGGGTGGGTGTATTTTATTTTTATTTAGATTCTACCGCTTAAGGGGAGGAGGGTTAAGTTTGCATTTCTTTTTCTTAGATCCCAGAATTTGCCCAAATAGGATAAAAGGAAATAAAATGAGTCCCTGAAATAGAGAAGGGGCGGGTGGGTGGGGCTATTTTTTTTTATATTACATTCTACTGTTTGCAATAGAAAATTCCTGTTTATCTAAATACATAAATTCGGTCATTCAAAACGAGAAGTGGTGGGTGGGCGGGGTTAATTTTTTTTAAGTTCTACGGAAGATTTGCTAAAATAAAATAAAATGAAACAAAATGAGTCCTTGAAATAGAGAAGGAGTGGGTGTTTTTTATTTTTATTTAGATTCTACTGCTTAAGGGGAGGAGGGTTAATTTTGCATTTATTTTCTCAGACCCCAGAATTTACCAAAATGGGATAAAAGGAAATAAAATAAGTCCTTGAAATAGAGAAGGGGCGGGTGGGTGGGGTAATTTTTTTATATTTAGACTCTACTGTTCGCCAATAGAAAATTCCTGTTTATCTAAATACATAAATTTGGTCATTCAAAACGAGAAGGGGTGGGTGGGCGGGGTTAATTTCTTTTGTTTACATTCTAGTGAAGATTTGCTAAAATAAAATAAAACGAAATAAAATGAGCCCTTGAAATAGAGAAGGGGTGGCTGTTTTTTTTTAAATTTAATTTAGAATCTTCTGCTCGGTAATAACTATAAAATTTATTATTCATCTCTAAAGGGAAGGGGGGGGGGTTAATTTTGCATTTCTTTTTCTCAGACCCCAGAATTTACCAAAATGGGATGAAAGGAAATAAAATAAGTCTTTGAAATAGAGAAGGGGCGGGTGGGTGGGGCTATTCTTTTTTATATTACATTCTACTGTTTGCAATAAAAAATTCCTGTTTATCTAAACACATAAATTTGGTCATTCAAAAGGAGAAGTGGTGGGTGGGCGGGGTTAATTTTTTTTAAGTTTTACGGAAGATTTGGTAAAATAAAATAAAATGAAATAAAATGAGTCCTTGAAATAGAAAAGGAGTGGGTGTTTTTATTTTTATTTAGATTCTACTGCTTATGGTGAGAAGGGTTAATTTTGCATTTCGTTTTCTTAGATCCCAGAATTTGCTAAAACAAGATGAAAGAAATATAATAAGTCCTTGAAATAGAGAAGGGGCGGGTGGGTGGGGCTAATTTTTTTATATTTAGACTCGACTGTTCGCCAATAGAAAATTCCTGTTTATCTAAATACATAAATTTGGCCATTCAAAACGAGAAGGGGTGGGTGGGCGGGGTTAATTTCTTTTGTTTACATTCTAGTGAAGATCTGCTAAAATAAAATAAAACGAAATAAAATGAGCCCTTGAAATAGAGAAGGAGTGGCTGTTTTTTTTTAATTTAATTTAGATTCTTCTGCTCGGTAATAACTATAAAATTTATTATTCATCTCTAAAGGGAAGGGGGGGGGGGGTTAATTTTGCATTTCTTTTTCTCAGACCCCAGAATTTATCAAAATAGGATGAAAGGAAATAAAATAAGTCCTTGAAATAGAGAAGGGGCGGGTGGGTGGGGCTATCTTTTTTATCTTACATTCTACTGTTTGCAATAAAAAATTCCTGTTTAACTAAACACATAAATTTGGTCATTCAAAAGGAGAAGTGGTGGGTGGGCGGGGTTAATTTTTTTTAAGTTTTACGGAAGATTTGCTAAAATAAAATAAAATGAAACAAAATGAGTCCTTGAAATAGAGAAGGAGTGGGTGTTTTTTATTTTTATTTAGATTCCACTGCTTAGGGTGAGAAGGGTTAATTTTGTATTTCTATTTCTTAGACCCCAGAATTTACCAAAATAGGATGAAAGGAAATAAAATAAGTCCTTGAAATAGAGAAGGGGTGGGTGGGTTTTGCTATCTTTTTTTATATTACATTCTACTGTTTGCAATAGAAAATTCCTGTTTATCTGAATACATAAATTTGGCCATTCAAAACGAGAAGGGGTGGGTGGGCGGGGTTAATTTCTTTTGTTTACATTCTAGTGAAGATTTGCTAAAATAAAATAAAACGAAATAAAATGAGCCCTTGAAATAGAGAAGGGGTGGCTGTTTTTTTTTTTAATTTAATTTTGATTCTACTGCTCGGTAAAATAAAATTTATTATTCATCTCTAAAGGGAGGGGGGGGGGCTTAATTTTGCATTTCTTTTTTCAGACCCCAGAATTTACCAAAATGGGATGAAAAAAAATAAAATAAGTCCTTGAAATAGAGAAGGGGCGGGTGGGTGGGGCTAATTTTTTTATATTTAGACTCTTCTGTTCGTCAATAGAAAATTCCTGTTTATCTAAATACATAAATTTGGTCGTTCAAAACGAGAAGGGGTGGGTGGGCGGGGTTAATTTCTTTTGTTTACATTCTAGTGAAGATTTGCTAAAATAAAATAAAACGAAATAAAATGAGCCCTTGAAATAGAGAAGGGGTGGCTGTTTTTTTTTTTAATTTAATTTAGATTCTACTGCTCGGTAAAATAAAATTTATTATTCATCTCTAAAGGGAGGGGGGGGGGGTTAATTTTGCATTTCTTTTTTCAGACCCCAGAATTTACCAGAAAAAAAAAATAAGTCCTTGAAATAGAGAAGGGGCGGGTGGGTGGGGCTAATTTTTTTATATTTAGACTCTTCTCTTCGCCAATAGAAAATTCCTATTTATCTAAATACATAAATTTGGTCGTTCAAAACGAGAAGGGGTGGGTGGGCGGGGTTAATTTCTTTTGTTTACGTTCTAGTTAAGATTTGCTAAAATAAAATGAAATAAAATGAGTCTTTGAAATAGAGAAGGAGTGGGTGTTTTTTATTTTTATTTAGATTCTACTGCTTAGGGTGAGAAGGGTTAATTTTGCATTTCTTTTTCTTAGATCCCAGAATTTGCTAAAATAGGATGAAAGGAAATAAAATAAGTCCTTGAAATAGAGAAGGGGAGGGTGGGTGGGGCTATTTTTTTAATATTTAGATTCTACTGTTTGCCAATAGAAAATTCCTGTTTATTTAAATATATTAATTTGGTCATTCAAAACGAGAAGGGAGGAATGGGTGGGCTTAATATCCACTGTAGGCACATTATTAATTTATACTGTACTTAATATCGAAATTCAAACTATATTTTTTATAAGCATTTAGTAATTTTTTTTTTAAATGTCACCAATTTGTTTGAAGAAATTTTTATTGTTGTTTTTTTTTTGTAGAAAATTGTCTCGTCTATTTAGCCGCATTTTTGGTGTGGTGTTGGGTCCTAATTAATTGATTATAAATTTTAATTAATTAAATTATTAATATCAATACTTCGAAACATGGGATGAAGATGAACATAAAACATAACATTTTTCAGGTTGTGTGCACGAGAAACAAAGAATTCCTAATTGTATAATATTAATATTATTTTCATATCTTAATACATGCGCTGCACCCATCCATATTTTGAACTGTGGATACAGAAATAAAAAATACCACACAACAGTAAATCTGCAATAAATTAAATAAAAATAAACAAACATCAGACATACATAACCTCAATTGTCACTAACAACAAGTGTCAATTCTTAAATGCGAAAAAATACTTGCAATAATCGCTGTGTTGTTAGTATGAAAGAGTTTACAGTTTTTCACAGTTATTTATAAAAATTATAAAAGTAATTTTACAACTGTGTCCACTAAAAAAATTAAAGAACAACATAACCTCACTTTTTTACGCATACAAAAAAAATATTCCTTGGATACGTAGTGAATAAAGCGTGTTAACTTGTGTAAGTAGCAATCATGCTTATTATTTGTACTATTTTCCACGAGATAATTTCGAAGGTGTCAAATATTTGCACAGAGCCGAACTAGAAATATTCGAGCCCCTGCAAATAAACGCGATGCTTGTTATGGGATTTCAAGCTAACTCTAACGCGCTCTGGCGGCAAGACTGCCTACTACGCTTCCGACGTCATGAACAGGTCAAGTTCGTGTTAGCGCTGGTGTGTTTACAAGTTTGGAAGCAAGTTTTCTTGTGATTTCCTTCAGTTCGTTATACCCTGTTCCGATTTATAGGGCTCTAATCAACAATTTGATGACCTGTTAAGTTGATTGTGCCATTTAAAGCGCACCTAACCTAGCTATGGCTCAACAATCTTGTTCCGTTTTTAATTGTTCATCGACAAGAAGAAAGAATCCTGATTTAAGTTTTCACATTTTTCCTAAAGAGGGTGAGAAAATTCAGGTGCTGAGTGACTTTGGAATTGCAGAAGTGGGTGATCGTCGAAAACTATGGGAAATAAATCTTAAAATCGGAAACAAAATTACCAACAGCATGGCCGTGTGTTCAAGGCATTTTACACAAGATGATTATGAATGCTCAGGTACAGAGATACTGTTTCCAGGATAAATTGTAGTAATGACTTTCATTTTCAATTGAAGGTTGGAGCAGCCGAAAACGTTTGAAGCAAACTGCAGTACCATCCAGGAATTTACCATCTAGTACTTTAGATATTGAACGAAATAAAGAAATAATAAAAGAAAGAAGAACAATTGCAGGAGCTTGCTTACGCGAAGAAAGAAGCAAGGTTTCAGAGTGCCCTGCAAAACATGTTGGTTAAAAACACTTTGTTCTCGTTATTATGGAATAGTGATTTAACTGTTCAAATAAGTATATAGAGTCAAAATAAAACACGAATTTGTGTGTACTCAGTTACCTGGATGTGACGTCACACACCAGCTGTTCGAAGCGCGCTAAAATTAATTTGAATTCCCTCAAAAAAATTGATAACGTCATTTAAAAAAAACTTAAAGCATATATTTTTTACAGATCACAGAGATGTACTCATGCAACAAATGTCCCAGCAAATTTAAACTTCTCGTGGCCCTACAAACCCACGCGAAAACCGCCCACAAGCTCGAAACCTTCGACTGCGCAAGCGATCTTCGCCCTTTCCAGTGCGGCGGCTGCGAAAACTTCCGGACCCATTTTCGGACGCAATTAAAACAGCACATTCGCCAAAACCACGCCTTCCAAGGCACCCAAATTTCGTACACTTGTAGGACGTGCTATTTCGAGACATTTTCCAGGTGCGTGTTACTTCGGCACATTTATTTGGACAGATGTGTGTATGAACCTGTGAAAATAGGAAGCGAATTGACGACAAAGCACGTCTTCATAGACATGAGGGTGGTGCAGTGGTTTAAATGTGAATTCTGCCCTTTTCAAGCGCAGTTCAAGGGCAATTTGCGGATACACCAACGGAAATTTCATAGTGTTGATAGTAAGAGGTTGAAGTGTGACCTGTGTCCGTTTGAGACTTTGGATAAGATGATGTTTGATAGGCACATACAAGTGCATTTGACGCTGGAGCCAGAAGGGGAGAAAAATAAAGATGGAAGTGTGAGAATAGGAACATGTGATAATAATGATGAAGGTAGTATGAAAGAGTATGAATAGTACGAATTTGAAACTGTTTTTTTTTTCAGGGTATAGTGAGAACTTGAACTGTCAGCCTTACATAACAAACAAGAAAAAGTATTTACAGGCACATGTGAACAGACATGTAACTCAGGAGTATTTTCATTGTGGAGAGTGTTCTTATAGGGCGAAAAGACGACAGACTGTGAAACGTCATATCCTAGAAAAACATGTAAATATAACTTAGGAACTAAACAATTTTCACATGTTTAGTGAAAACTTTTATAGCAATTGCTTGTATAGTGGGTTGCCTATGTTGGCAATAAAATTAAGTAAATATATTATTGTTATTGTAATAGATCAGCACTTGTTAAGCTAAATCCAACAATAAACTTTTATTTTTTGCAAACTTGATTCATTTATAAACCCGAACTGTGGTTCTGAAAATTAATTATTATTAACTAAAAGTGAGGTTACGTTAACGTCGAAATAATGTCATAGATTAATGTAGATGCGACATCAGGCTGATTTTGCGAAATCACCCTTATTGACATTGGAGTCCTCAACCGCCAAAGGCAAGCGCTAAATTTAAATAGTCGATGCCAATAAAAAACTTGATTGACTACAACTCGTCGCCTGACAACTTGTTTGATCTACAGACCAGAGCGCGCTCATGCCAATGTCGACTCTAAGCGTTCAGAAGCGATTTGGTTGGTTTGGACTATAATTTCTGCGGGAAATAGTTGTTTGGTCGGTTTTTATAACGACTAAGTGAATATTTTTGGTACATATTTAGATGATTTTACATATTTTGTTAACTAAGAATTAATTCTTTATTTGTGTTTTATACTAGCAAAACGTCTTAAACTAAGAATATTGTTAAAATCGTAATAACCCAATGGATTTTTTTCGGAAAAATGTTTTGGAAACACTGTGCTCTATTTTGTATGAATTTTTAAATGTTTTTAGTGACAATTTTTGTGGTTGTTTTCGATACTGCATGATATTAACAGTGAGAAACAAAGTGAAAAATTAAAATAATCGAAAAATCGAGAAATCTAATAATCGAAAAATCGAAACCTTAAAAAATCGTAAAACCGAAACATTAAAATATCGAAGAACTGAAAATCGAAAAATAAAGCATCAGAAAATCGAAAAATGTAAAATTCAAAAATCTAAAATTTAAAAACCGAATAACGAAAAATCTAGAAATCGAAATTCCCAAATTTAAAAATCGGATAACTGAAAAATCGAAACATCGAAAAACTGGAAAATCGAAAAACCCAGAAATCGAAAAATCAGAAGATTAAGAAATCGTGGAGTCGAAAAGTCGAACAATTGAGAAACCGAAATAGGCCAAAATCGAAAAGTTAAAATTAAAATATCGAAAAATCCAAGTCGCGATAAATTAAGAATTCAAAAAACTTAAAAATTCGAAAAATTGAAAAACTGAGAGATTGAAAGATCAAAACAAATTAAAATATCAAAAAACTGAAAAATCTAAAATTTAAAAATCCAAAAATTGAAAAATCGAAAAAGTAAAAAGGTAGACAATTTGGAAAATCCAGAAGTCAAAAATAGAAAAGCCGAAGAATTGAAATACTGAAAAAAGTCGAAAAATAGAAACCTTAAAAATCGAAAAATTGAAAAATCAAAAACCTGAAAAATCAAAAAATTAAAGAATTGAAGAACAGGAAAATAGAAAAAAGAAATGGGAAAATTGATTAATTGAAAAATCGAAAAATTGAGAGTTTATGAAAGTCAAATTTGAAAATTTAAAATCAGAAAATCTAAAACCAGGAAGTCGAAAAATCAAAAGATTAAGAAATCGAAACCTTTGAAAAATTCGAAAATTGAAATATCGAAAAACTGAAACGAAAAATCGAAAAATCAAAAATCTAAAATTTTAAAAATTAAAAAATCTAAAATTTAAAAATCGAAAAAGTAAAAAAATCGAAACATCGAAAAATACAGGAGTCAAAAATCAAAAAGTCGAAGAATCGAAATATTGAAAATTCCCAAAACTGAAATATCGAAAAACTGAAAAATGAAAGAAAAACTAAAAATGGGAAACTAAATCAGGAAATCAAAACATTGAAAAATCAAAAAATTTAAAACAATTGAAAACAGAAAATCTAAAACCGGGAAGTCGAAAAATCGAAAGATTAAGAAATCGAAACATTTGAAAAATTCTAAAACTTGAAAAATTGAAATATCGAAGAACTGAAATGAAAAATCGAGAAAACGAAAAATCTAAAATTTTAAAAATCGAAAAATCGAAAAAGTAAAAAAATCGACACATCGAAAAATAAGCTGAAAAATCCCAAAACTGAAATGTCCAAAAACTGAGAAATTAAAAAATTGAAAATCAAAGAAGTGAAGTTAAAAAATCGAAACCTGAAAAAACAGAAATATTGAAAAATCTCAAAACTAAAATATCGAAAAACTGGAAAATGAAAGAAAAACTGACGAATCGAAAAACCTGAAAAATCAAAAAGTTAAGGAATTGAAGAACAGGAAAATCGAACACTCGAAGGTCAAGAAATGGGAAAATCAAAACATCGATTAATTGAAAAATTGAGAGTATAAAAGTCAAATTTGAAAAATTAAAAAATCGAAAATTTGACAAAATGACAATAGAAAAACAGAAAATCCAAAATCGGGAAGTCGAAAAAACTTGAAAAATTGAAATATCGAAGAATTGAAATGAAAAATCGAGAAATCGAAAAATCGAAAATTTTAAAAATCGAAAAAGTAAAAAAATCGACACATCGAAAAATCCAGGAGTCAAAAATCGAAAAGTCGAAGAATCGAAATATTGAAAAATCCCAAAACTGAAATATCGAAAAATTGAAAATTGAAAGAAAAACTAAAAATGAGGAACTAAATCGGGAAATCAAACCATTGAAAAATGGAAAAATTTAAAACGACAATTGAAAACAGAAAATCTAAAACCGGGAAGTCGAAAAATCGAAAAGTCGAGGAATCAAAATATTGAAAAATCCCAAAACTGAAATATCGAAAAACTGAAATATCCAAAAACTGAAAACCTAAAATGTCGAAAAATCCAAAAAGTAAAGTCGAAAAATCGAAACCTTAAAAAAACTAAAAAATGAAAAATCAAAAACTTGAAAAATCGAAAAATTAAAGAATTGAAGAAAAGGAATATCGAAACCCTCGAAAGTCAAGAAATCGGAAAGTCAAAACATCGATTAATTGAAAAATCGAAAAATCCAGAAGACAAAAAGTCGAAGAACAGAAATATTGAAAAATCCCAAAACCGAAATATCGAAAACTCAAAAATGAAAGAAAAACTGACGAATCGAAAAACTGAAAAATCAGTTTTGAAATATCCAAAAACTGAGAATCTAAAGAATCGAAAAATTGGGAATCAAAAAAGTGAAGTCGAAATATCGAAACCTTAAAAAAATCGAAAAATCGAAAAATAAAAAACCTGCAAAATCGTAAGATCGAAAAATTGAATAACAAATAAACTGAAAATCCCAAAACTGAAATGTCCAAAAACTGAGAAATTAAAAAATTGAGAAATCGAAAAATCAAAAAAGTGAAGTTGAAAAAAAATTGACATTTTTTCTAGTTAATTTTATTCCTAGTTAGAAACAAACACTGTTGCCAACATAAGTCGAGGAGTCCTCAACCGTCATTTAATTTAAACTATGACGCTTCTGTATGTTCTCTGCTAATGCTCTGATTCTGGTTTACAATAGCGACAATTAATCATTTCGGAAACAATGGTAAAACTTTCCACTTAATTTTTTATAAAAAAAAAAAATTGAGGTTAGGTGGTCCTGTCAACGTCACGTGTTGGAAGTTTTCTATGCACTTTGCGCCGCACTATAACCAATTTAGCACAACTATTACGTAAACACTCCAACTATTTCCTTATTTAACCATAACCCAGTTTGATTTTCATCACTTGAGGTCATGTCAACGAAGAGTGAGGTTATGTCACCCAAGTTTTAAAAAATGCTTAGTCCCGAAGGTATCAAACAAGAACCATTTGACAACCTTTTTAGTTGTTACAAAGCCACCCTAGAAAAATACCATTGCAAGCATTGTGGCTTTTTCACCGACTTGTCGCTCCTCTTCAGTCAACACACTTTAACCCATCACCTGAAGCAAGCCCCCTCGTACTCCACACAGACCTACTTTTGCAAAACTTGCTACTTCAAAACCCACTCACTTCTCCACTGGTACCAACATACTCAAAGCGGGTGCAACTATGAAGACTCCACTTGGCTACAATGTGAGAATTGTAGCTACGGAACGATTTACAGATCCCGGCTCAAGTGGCACAGTATGTCGAAACACACCCCTCCAGAACAAAAACGGTGGCGCGAGTGTCCACATTGCCCCTTCAGGACCTTACGACGATCCCACTTGAAAAACCACATCGTAGCCAAGCACCTACCGGAAGACAGCATCAAATGGTGGCGATGCCCCGAGTGCCCCTACCAAGCCAAACTGAACGCCAACTTGAAAAAACACTTCATTTATTGTCACGCTCAACCAGAAATGGTCAAATGGTTCCAATGTGAAGATTGTCCATACAAAAGCAAATATAAACACGATTTGTATAGACACAAAGTGCGGCAGCACTCCAACCCGGACGAAGTGCAATGGTTCGAGTGTGATAAGTGCTCGTATCGGACTAAGGCCACGTGGGATTTGAAGGCGCATTTAAATACAGTGCATTTGAGACAAAACAACAAGGTGAAGAAGTTTGAGTGTGAACATTGTAGTTATAAGACGACGAGGAGGTGCCAGTTGGCGGTTCACGTCACTAATCGACACAAAGCTGTGGAAGATATAGAGTGGTTCGAGTGTGACCAGTGCGAATTTAAAACAAAAACGAAATACGGGTTACGTAGTCATTTTAAAATCAGACACGTCGAACCGGAGGTTGAAGAATGGTTCACGTGTAGCCAGTGTCCTTTTAAAGCCAAGTTTAAAGCGTACTTGAAGAGACACCAAAACCTGATGCACACCGACGAGAAAGATATGAAGTGGTTTGAGTGTGATCATTGTGACCATCGCACCAAGCATAAACAGCACCTGAAGAAACACCTAAAGACGATACACAACGTCATTACTTGATATATTTTTGTAATTAAAAAATAAACCAACTGTATTTTAGTCTTTATTTCCGTGCATTTTGGCTTCGTGTTTGCGCAAGTCGTACTTTCGCTTAGTTTTGTGTGCGCAGAAGTCACATTGAAACCATTTAATTTGTTCTTTGTCCCGATGTATCAAAGAGTGTGCACTTAACGCCCCCTTACGTTTAGCTCGATAATCGCACTTTTCACATTGGTACCACTGAATCTCCTCACTTTTCAAGTGTCTGTAGATTTTGTGCTGCCTCAAACCGTCGCTCAGCTTCGTCGCAAAACTGCACTGGTCACATTTAAACCGTTTGGTGATTTCGGGCTCCGTGTGTCTCAGAAACATGTGCTTCTCGAGGTCTTTCTTCACTTTCACTTTGTGTGGGCACAGGTCACATTTGTACCACTGAGTGTCTTCTTCTCTGACGTGTCTCCGAAGCTTGTGTAGCACTAAACACCGTTTAAATTTCGTGTAGTAGTCACAATGGGAGCACTTAAACCAACTGATATCTTTGACGTGTTTTGACACTTCGTGCTCCTTTAAAGTGGATTTCGTTTTGGCTTTGTAAAAACAGTGTTGACATTGGTACCAACCTGCTTCTTCTTTCTTTCCGTGGATTCTTATTTCGTGCAATTTTAAATTGTAGTGGATTTTGGATCTGTATTGGCAGCGCTCGCACCGGTACCACTGGATATTTTCGCTACTAGTGTGTTTGTTAATTATGTGTCTGGACAAATGCTGCTTTTCTTTCGTTCTAAAAACACAAACCTGACATTTGAACCACTGGATTTCGTCACCTGTTGCGTGCTTGTAATTGATGTGTCGTCTCAAACTGGACTTCCCCGTTGTCGTATAGGAACAAAAGTCGCACTTTTTTATTTGTGGGTGTCTTCGTGGTTTCGTTGGGGGGCAGTCGACTACGTGTTGGAGCCATCGTAGCGAGAAATGTGTCTCAAAATAGCAGCGTTTGCAGCTGTAGTTTGTGATAATAATACGTTGACTGATAGTCGGTTTAATTTCAGATGTACATTGTCTGAAATGTAGCTTGTAAAGAATGGCCAAAGGGGTCGTGAAGTTGCAGTCCTTGCAGTAGTAGGGTTCGAGGGTGTTTTCACACAGAAAGGGCCTAGGATCTAGTGCTCCATGGGTGTTGATTTTAGCGTTTTTTGCATTTTCGAGTGACGACATTTTGGGTTTGGTGATGAGGATTGAGTCACCGGTGCGATTTGTTTATAATTGGTAAAAAACATTGAGATCACTGAACATAACCTCAAACAGAAACGTCAATTTTCACACATGTTGCGCGGTGGTCATAGAGGCGTAGGTCAGCACACTTATTTACAAAGTGGAGGATCGCTGCGTCGTTGACACGTAAAGTCACTAAAGCAATTGATCGCGTTTTAAATTACTGACCAGACCCTCTCTTATCTTATCAATTTTCTTCAAACTGCACCACAACAACAACTTTCTTATCAGACAGTTCCTTGTATTTATTTTGTCTGATCGAACATGAGGTATTTCATAGTCGTTTGCTTTCTGTATTACCTCAAATTAACAAATGTAAGTGGTCACCATTTATTACAACCCTAATATTGCTTTAGATGAGTACTAATTAGGTACTACTTTAGGGCTACAGAGGTGCTGTTGTTGAATACAGCCCCACTACAGCCGATTCCCCCGAAAATACAATTCTCAAAAACCTCAACGAGTATAGTACTTTCATCCAACGAGCCAAAACTCAGGCAAGTACCGACCAACCTTTAAGTGAGATTTATAAACTTGCTGTTGACGTTGAAGTTCCCCCTGACGTTGAAAATTGTTATCTATAAACTCTGTTGCCAAGTTGCCGTTGATAGTAACTTTGATGTTCAAGTTTTGTCGTATTTAAAGGGGAGGATTTAAGTTGATCACTACATAAATTTACCATTGTAGACATGTTTTAAGTTTCTTGTTGTCAAAATAAGTCTACATAACTCAAGAAAAAAACGAAAAATGAAGCCCCGCCCACCCACCCTATCTCAATTGTGATGATTTTTTTTATTCGTAGTGAGCCAAGAAGGCGGAGCTTAACTGCAAAATTCTTATTTTTTTATGAGATCTCTATCGATATTTTAACTGTGGATTCTGGAAAAACGGTTCCAGTTATCAAAAAACCGAGGCCGGATTTGAGTTCTAGAACTCGAAATCTACAAAAAAAATGTATTTAGTTAGTTAATGTATTTTAAAAAAGTTGTCTAAAAATTATGAAAAAATTCAGGGACGTAGATCTCGACACGCTGATTCCAAAAATGTAGCATGTTGATGGTCACAAAGCAACATTTTCGAAAAAATCGCTGCGAAATGCAAATTTTTGAAAATTTCAAAAATTTCGATACTTTGACGGTCGATTCTGGAAAAACGGTTGCAGTTATCAAAAAACCGAGGCCGGATTCAAGTTCTAGAGCTCGAAATCAACAAGAAAATGTGTTTAGTTGAGTTTCGAAAATGTCAAAATTTTTGCGAAATTTGAAGAAGGGGGGACCGTTAAAAAATTTCAATTTTAAAAAAGTTGTCTAAAAATTATGAAAAAATTCAGGGACGTAGATCTCAACACGCCGATTCCAAAAATATGGCATGTTGATGGTCACGAAACAACATTTGCGAAAAAATCGCTGCGAAATGCGAATTTTTGAAAATTTCAAAAATTTCGAAATTTCAACGGTCGATTCTGGAAAAACAGTTGCAGTTATCTAAAAACCGAGGCCGGATTTGAGTTCTAGAGCTCGAAATCTACAAGAAAATGTATTTAGTTGAGTTTCGAAAATGTCAAAATTTTTGCGTAATTTGAAGAAGGGGGGACCGTTAAACAATTTTAATTTTAAAAAAGTTGTCTAAAAATTATGAAAAAATTCAGGGACGTAGATCTCAACACGCTGATTCCAAAAATATAGCATGTTGATGGTCACAAAGCAACATTTTCGAAAAAATCGCTGGGAAATGCGAATTTTTGAAAATTCCAAAAATTTCGATATTTAAACGGTCGATTCTGGACAAACGGTTGCAGCTATCAAAAAACCGAGGCCGGATTTGAGTTCTAGAGCTAGAAATCTACAAGAAAATGTAGTTAGTTGAGTTTCGAAAATGTTAAAATTTTTGCGAAAATTGAAGAAGGGGGGACCGTCAAAAAATTTCAATTTTAGAAAAGTTGTCTGAAAATTATGAAAAAATTCAGGAACGTAGATCTCGACACACTGGTTCCAAAAATATAGCATGTTGATGGTTACGAAGCAAGATTTTCGAAAAAATCGTTGCGAAATGCGAATTTTTGAAAATTTCAAAAATTTCGAAATTTCAACGGTCGATTCTGGAAAAACGGTTGCATGTATCAAAAAACCGAAACCGGATTTGAGTTCTACGGCTCGAAATCTACAAGAAAATGTATTTAGTTGAGTTTCGAAAATGTCAAAATTTTTGCGAAATTTTAAGAAGGGGGACCGATAAAAAATGTCAATTTTAAAAAAGTTGTCTAAAAATCATGAAAAAATTCGAGGACGTAGATCTCGACACGCTGATTCCAAAAATATAGCATGTTGATGGTCACGAAGCAAGATTTTCGAAAAAATCGTTGCAAAATGCGAATTTTTGAAAATTTCTGAAAATGTCAAAATTTCGACGGTCGATTCTGGAAAAACGGTTGCATGTATCAAAAAACCGAAGCCGGATTTGAGCTCTACAGCTCGAAATCTACAAGAAAATGTATTTAGTTGAGTTTCGAAAATGCAAAATTTTTGCGAAATTTGAAGAAGAGGGGACCGTTAAAAAATTTCAATTTAAGAAAAGTTGTCTAAAAATTATGAAAAAATTCAAGGACGTAGATCTCGACACGCTGATTCCAAAAATATAGCATGTTGATGGTCACGAAGCAAGATTTTCGAAAAAATCGTTGCAAAATGCGAATTTTTGAAAATTTCAAAAATTTCGAAATTTCAACGGTCGATTCTGGAAAAACGGTTGCATGTATCAAAAAACCGAAGCCGGATTTGAGTTCTACGGCTCGAAATCTAGAAGAAAATGTATTTAGTTGATTTTCGAAAATGTCAAAATTTTTGCGAAATTTGAAGAAGGGGAACCGTTAAAAAATTTCAATTTTAGAAAAGTTGTCTGAAAATTATGAAAAAATTCAGGGACGTAGATCTCGACACGCTGATTCCAAAAATATAGCATGTTGATGGTCACGAAGCAACATTTTCTAAAAAAACGCTGCGAAATGCGAATTTTTGAAAATTTAAAAAATTTCGATATTTTAACGGCCAATTCTGGAAAAACGGTTGCAGTTATCAAAAAACCGAGGCCGGATTTGAGTTCTAGAGCTCGAAATCTACAAGAAAATGTATTTAGTTGAGTTTCGAAAATGTTAAAATTTTTACGAAAATTGAAGTTGAAATCGATTTTTCCAGAATCGACCGTTAAAAAATTTCAATTTTAGAAAAGTTGTCTGAAAATTATGAAAAAATTCAGGGACGTAGAACTCGACACGCTGATTCCAAAAATATAGCATGTTGATGGTCACGAAACAACATTTGAAAAAAAATCGTTGCGAAATGCGAATTTTTGAAAATTTCAAAAATTTCGAAATTTCAACGGTCGATTCTGGAAAAACGGTTGCATGTATCAAAAAACCGAAGCCGGATTTGAGTTGTACGGCTCGAAATCTACAAGAAAATGTATTTAGTTGAGTTTCGAAAATGTCAAAATTTTTGCGAAATTTGAAGAAGGGGGGACCGTTAAAAAATTTCAATTTTAGAAAAGTTGTCTAAAAATTATGAAAAAATTCAAGGACGTAGATCTCGACACGCTGATTGCAAAAATATATGATGTTGATGGTCACGAAGCAAGATTTTCGAAAAAATCGCTGCGAAACGCGAATTTTTGAAAATTTCAAAAATTTCGAAATTTCAAAGGTCGATTCTGGAAAAACGGTTGCATGTATCAAAAAACCGAAACCGGATTTGAGTTCTACGGCTCGAAATCTACAAGAAAATGTGTTTAGTTGATTTTCGAAAATGTCAAAATTTTTGCGAAATTTGAAGAAGGGGAGACCGTTAAAAAATTTCAATTTTAGAAAAGTTGTCTAAAAATTATGAAAAAATTCAAGGACGTAGATCTCGACACGCTGATTCCATAAATATAGCATGTTGATGGGCACGGAGCAAGATTTTCGAAAAAATCGTTGCGAAATGCGAATTTTTGAAAATTCCAAAAATTTCGATATTTTAACGGTCGATTCTGGAAAAACGGTTGCAGTTATCAAAAAACCCAGGCCGGACATAAGTTCTACAGCTCGAAATCTATAAGAAAATGTATTTAGTTGAGTTTCGAAAATCTCAAAATTTTTGCGAAATTTGAAGAAGGGGGGACCGTTAAAAAATTTTAATTTTAAAAAAGTTGTCTAAAAATTATGAAAAAATTCAGGGACGTAGATCTCGACACGCTGATTCCAAAAATATAGCATGTTGATTGTCGCGAAGCAACATTTTTGAAAAAATCGCTGCGAAATGTGAATTTTTGAAAATTCCAAAAATTTCGATATTTTAACGGTCGATTCTGGAAAAACGGTTGCAGTTATCAAAAATCCCAGGCCGGATATGAGTTCTACAGCTCGAAATCTATAAGAAAATGTATTTAGTTGAGTTTCGAAAATCTCAAAATTTTTGCGAAATTTGAAGAAGGGGGGACCGTTAAAAAATTTCAATTTTAAAAAAGTTGTCTATAAATTATGAAAAAATTCAGGGACGTATATCTCGACACGCTGATTCCAAAAATATAGCATGTTGATGGTCACGAAACAACATTTGCGAAAAAATCGCTGCGAAATGAGAATTTTTGAAAATTTCAAAAATTTCGATATTTTAACGGTAGATTCTGGAAAAATGGTTGCAGGTATCAGAAAACCGAAACCGGATTTGAGTTCTAGAGCTCGAAATCTACAAGAAAATGTTTTGAGTTTCTAAAATGTCAAAATTTTTGCGAAATTTGAAGACCGTTAAAAAATTTCAATTTTTTAAAAGTTGTTTGAAAATTATGAAAAAATTCAGAGACGTAGATCTCGACACGCTGCGAATTTCTGAAAATTTCACACTTAAGAAAAAAGGGCAAAACAACGGCAACGTCAGTGACAAGTTTATAAATCGACCTTTATACAAACTAATTGGTACTATTGATTATTAGGGTGCTGATATCATAGTCTTCCCGGAGTATGGTCTCACTACCATGGTGGCAGACCCAGAAGGGTACGCCGTCGCCCTTACGCCCGACGCACCCATCGTAACAAAATTGAGCACCCTGGCCAAACAAGCAACCATTTATCTCGTGGTTAACTTGCTTGAAAAAGTAGACACCAGAACACCGAAGTACTACAACACGAACTTGGTTTTCGACAGAAACGGAAACGTGATTAAGAAGTAGTTCACGTGGGTACCTTTTTAACACAATTGTTCAAAAACGTTTCATAGGTACCGCAAAATCAACTTATTTGGTGAACCTAATCTCGCCCCGGGATCGTCAAACCAGAGTACCATTTTTAGCACCGACTTTGGTGTGACCTTTGGCATCTTTACGTGCTTCGATATTCTTTACACTAACCCATCGAGAACCGTTTTGACGAATAACATCACCGATGTGGTTTACCCAACGTCGTGGTTTTCGACCATGCCGTTCTACGCTTGTAAGGTTTACATAGTAGAGTAATCCAGAGTTTCGGTACTGTCGTTTCAGCTTTGAGTGTCCAACACGGCTATTCCACGTCTACCAAAGTTAACCTTCTGGCGGCAAATTTGGGCGAGCCACAGAACACCCATGGTGGTTCAGGAATATATTTGGTTGATGGTACTTCCAATATACATATAACGGATGTAGCGAGCAGCAAGTTACTCATTCAAGACGTTCCCGGAAAAACGGTACCACAGGTGGTACGTGACACTAACATGAGCAACTATGAAACATTAAGGGATTTTCGAGCCGCTGATTACAATTTTAAGAAAATCGACCTGAGTCAGACGAATCAGAGTACCAATATATGCTACAATGAGTTTTGTTGTACGTTTGATTTAACCGTGGGTGAATCCAACTGCGACGATGTTTACAAGTACCATTAGAAAATTTCTGGTTTATTTTTGTCTGTATATTTTTTTTAATTTTAGAATTATGGCTTTCGACGGCGTCGTACCTTTCGACGTATCCACCGCCCACATCCGTGTCTGTAGCCTCCTTCTATGTGCCAACGCCACAAACGACAGTTGTGGGGCAAGAATCAAACCCGGTACTATATTCACGAAGATGTCAGTTCGCACCAACGTCGAAAAAAACAGTTCATTTTACAACCCTCTGACTCTCGATTTGTACCTCAGACCTTTACTACATAGTACTTTCGACACTACTCAACTAAGTACTCTTCAAGAATCCAGCGACGTTGTAGTTTTCGGAATTTTCGGCCGACTTGATTGATTGTAAACGTGCGCAATAAACCAAAATCTTATCCTGCGACCTTTTGATAACACTCATAAATGACGCCGCTCGAGATAATCTCGCTAGTTTGCAACATGTGGTACTTCACTCTACTCCTTTTCGTTGTGTCTGCGTACTATGGACAGGCTTATAAAGCTGCAGTTGTCCACTACTACCCCGCTGTCGGAACCACCGCGGAGGAGACGATCCTGAAAAACATGAACGAGTACCGAAAGTACGCCAACAAAGCCAAGAGCAAAGTAAATTGCAACAGTTGCAAAACACACCCACATTGGTTTTTCTAGGGGGTCGACATTATAGTGTTCCCTGAGTACGGTCTGGTCACTACGTCTGCTCTAGCCAATCCCGGAGAGTACTCCCTTGAAATACAAAGTCCTATCATAGCGCAGATCGGTACTATAGCAAGAGACAACGGGGTTTACTTGGTTGTTAATTTATTCGAACGAATCGACGATAAGTACTACAACACGAATTTGGTTTTTGACAGGAATGGTACCCTGATTCTTAAGTAAGTGAGTACTGTGGTGAGAAAAAATCGTATAGTACGTGTTGTAGGTACCATAAAAGCCACTTGTATAACGAGTTCGGTTTGACTCCTGGTACCCCGAATCAAACTATCACGTTTTCGACCGACTTTGGTGTCACTTTTGGTATCTTCACATGCTTTGACATGTTGTTCGCAAACCCTTCATTAAGGGTTTTGGAGGGTGGAAATGTCACTGACGTGATTTTCGTTCTCGGGTGGTTACCGTCGTACATTTGTAAGTACCGAGTTCGTTAAATCGTCACCACGGGTGGTTCTTTTTCAAGCTTTGAGCATCCAACACGGTTATTGTGTTGCTAACGGGGTTAACCTCCTGGCTGCTAATTATGGCAGACACATAGACGGGAGAAGTGGTACCGGGATATACTTATCCGATGGAAAAGTCGCCAAAGTGGTCAATGATAGCGTAAAAAGCCAGCTAGTGGTACGAGAAGTACCACCGAAATCACTAGAAACGGAAAAAACTTGCCCCAGAAGTGTAAGACATGTTAGTAGTTTTAGCTAGTTTAAACGTATGTTCTAGGTTAAGGAAAAAACGCACACAGTCGTGACGACGTCAAAATATTATTTCCACGACGTCGACTTGACGAAAAAATTTACGTCGACGCAACTTTGCAACGGGAATTTTTGTTGCACTTTCCAGGTAACGCTTGACATGCGGCAGAAAAATCCCACGGATATTTACAAGTAAAAAACAAAATAATAAAAAAAAAAATGCGCACTGAACGCGTTTTTTAGATTGATGATCTTCGACGACTCCGTCAGCTACGATAAACTCGAAGCCAATTTCCGAATTTGCACCTTATTAGCTTGCAGGAACGAATTCGTTGACAGCTGTGGAGCAATGGCCAATGTTACGTCAACGTTCAAAAGGATAAGTGTTCAAGGGAACTTCACCAAGGACAACTCGACGTTTTACAGACCCATTACTTTGCACACGTCGCTTTCTCCGTTGACCCCCACTGCGTACTGTCAAGCTAATTCTTCAGTCCACCTTGGAACGAAAAACCAGAAAGGTGTGATCATTTTCGGGATTTTTGAAAGGAAGGACACTGTTAGCGAAAGGAGAGACGACATTGACGGAGCTCGCAACTCCAAAATTTTTCTAGTACTCACTTGGGGGCGCCCGTACTATTTCGCATTTTTCAAATCGTCAGTGTTTGATTAGTTGTTTCTATTTTTTACATATAATTGTATTTATAGTCTAGTTATCATACGACTCTTTGAATCTGAAGAACGCACGATTGTGATTAGCAAGCGTATATCTAATGTGTTTTGTAAATATTTGATTAGAGTTGTTGGATTGTGAATAAAGGTCAAAACTGCGAGTCGATGAATGTAATAAAAGGGGTCAAACTTCTCATATTTTTGTTGTATTGTGTGTAAAAATAAATATTTTTTTCGCACTTTGTGTTTTATTTGTCCTTCGTTAAGAATAGAAAATAACTGAATCGACGTTATTTATAATTATTTTGAAAACAAATTTTTAAACCACCTTAAAATTTTCATACTTCATTTTGGCAGTTCTGGATCAATGGTACACATTTTTGAAGAAATAAACTCTCACGATTTTTTTAAACCAAGATACAACTGCCTCTTTTGTGTAATACCGAAACAAACTTAACTAGTCTGCAGAAATGGCGCAGTCGGTAGGATGGAAATTCAAATCCGATCTTCATATCCACCCAAAGTAGCGAATATTTTTCAGATATTCGTGTAAAGAGCAAATTTCAGAGTGCGTGTGAAACAACCATGCGAAATGCGAATTTTTGAAAATTTCAAAAATTTCGATATTTTAACGGTAGATTCTGGAAATTTCGTAAAACTCAAATCCGGCTTCGGTTTTTCCAAAATCGACCGTTGAAATTTCGAAATTTTTGAAATTTTCAAAAATTCGCATTTCGAAACGATTTTTTCGAGAATTGTGCTTCGTGACCATCAACATGCTATATTTTTGGAATCAGCGTGTCGAGATCTACGTCCTTGAATTTTTTCATAATTTTTAGACAACTTTTTTAAAATTGAAATTTTTTAACGGTCCCCCCTTCTTCAAATTTCGCAAAAATTTGGACATTTTCGAAACTCAACTAAATACATTTTCTTGCAGATTTCGAGCCGTAGAACTGAAATCCGGCTTCGGTTTTTTGATACATGCAACCGTTTTTCCAGAATCGACCGTTGAAATTTCGAAATTAATGAAATTTTCAAAAATTCGCATTTCTCAACGATTTTTTCGAAAATCTTGCTTCGTGACCATCAACATCATATATTTTTGGAATCAGCGTGTCGAGATCTACGTCCTTGAATTTTTTCATAATTTTTAGACAACTTTTTTAAAATTGAAATTTTTTAACGGTCCCCCCCTTCTTCAAATTTCGCAAAAATTTTGACATTTTCGAAACTCAACTAAATACATTTTCTTGTCGATTTCGAGCCGTAGAACTCAAATCCGGTTCCGGTTTTTTGATACATGCAACCGTTTTTCCAGAATCGACCGTTGAAATTTCGAAATTTTTGAAATTTTCAAAAATTCGCATTTGGCAACGATTTTTTCGAAAATCTTGCTTCGTGACAATCAACATGTTATATTTTTGGAATCAGCGTGTCGAGATCTACGTCCTTGAATTTTTTCGTAATTTTTAGACAACTGTTTTAAGATTGAAATTTTTTAACGGTCCCCCCTTCTTCAAATTTCGCAAAAATTTTGACATTTTCGAAACTCAACTAAATACATTTTCTTGTAGATTTCGAGCCGTAGAACTCAAATCCGGCTTCGGTTTTTTGATACATGCAACCGTTTTTCCAGAATCGACCGTTGAAATTTCGAAATTTTTGAAATTTTCAAAAATTCGCATTTCGCAACGATTTTTTCGAAAATCTTGCTTCGTGACCATCAACATGCTATATTTTTGGAATCAGCGTGTCGAGATCTACGTCCTTGAATTTTTCCATAATTCTTAGACAACTTTTCTAAAATTGAAATTTTTTATCATTGGACGCAGAATTTTGTCAGGACTACCATTCCGTGCATGTTTTTGATATATCTCTTCAAATAAGCGAGAAAAATGCTGCACCACCTTTTTTTTTCAATTTTTTCAAAATGGTCCGAATCTACCGTGTGGGGTATCATCGGACGCAGAATTTTGTCAGGATTACGATTCCGTGCATATTTTTGAAATATCTCTTCAAATAAGCGAGAAAAATGCTGCCCCACCTTTTTTTTTAATTTTTTCAAAATGGTCCGAATGGACCGTGTGGGGTATCATCGGACGCAGAATTTTGTCAGGATTACGATTCCGTGCATGTTTTTGATATATATATCTCTTCACATAAGCGAGAAAAATGCTGCCCCACTTTTTTTTTTAATTTTTTCAAAATGGTCCGAATGGACCGTGTGGGGTATCATCGGACGCAAAATTTTGTCATGATTACGATTCCGTGCATGTTTTTGAAATATCTCTTCAAATGAGCGAGAAAAATGCTGCCCCACCTTTTTTTTTCAATTTTTTCAAAATGGTCCGAATCGACCGTGTAGGGTATCATCGGACGCAGAATTTTGTCAGGAATACGATTCCGTGCATATTTTTGAAATATCTCTTCAAATAAGCGAGAAAAATGCTGCCCCACCTTTTTTTTTTAGTTTTTTCAAAATGGTCCGAATGGACCGTGTGGGGTATCATCGGACGCAGAATTTTGTCAGGATTACGATTCCGTGCATGTTTTTGATATATCTCTTCACATAAGCGAGAAAAATGCTGCCCCACCTTTTTTTTTTTATTTTTTCAAAATGGTCCGAATGGACCGTGTGGGGTATCATCGGACGCAGAATTTTGTCGGGATTACGATTCCGTGCATGTTTTTGATATATCTCTTCAAATAAGCGAGAAAAATGCTGCCCCACCTTTTTTTTTCAATTTTTTCAAAATGGTCCGAATCTACCGTGTGGGGTATCATCGGACGCAGAATTTTGTCAGGATTACGATTCCGTGCATATTTTTGAAATATCTCTTCAAATAAGCGAGAAAAATGCTGCCCCACCTTTTTTTTTTTATTTTTTCAAAATGGTCCGAATGGACCGTGTGGGGTATCATCGGACGCAGAATTTTGTCGGGATTACGATTCCGTGCATGTTTTTGATATATCTCTTCAAATAAGCGAGAAAAATGCTGCCCCACCTTTTTTTTTCAATTTTTTCAAAATGGTCCGAATAGACCGTGTGGGGTATCATCGGACGCAGAATTTTGTCAGGATTACGATTCCGTGCATATTTTTGAAATATCTCTTCAAATAAGCGAGAAAAATGCTGCCCCACCTTTTTTTTTAATTTTTTCAAAATGGTCCGAATGGACCGTGTGGGGTATCATCGGACGCAGAATTTTGTCAGGACTACAATTCCGTGCATGATTTTGATATATCTCTTCAAATAAGCGAGAAAAATGCTGCCCCACCTTTTTTTTTTTATTTTTTCAAAATGGTCCGAATGGACCGTGTGGGGTATCATCGGACGCAGAATTTTGTCAGGATTACGATTCCGTGCATGTTTTTGATATATCTCTTCACATAAGCGAGAAAAATGCTGCCCCACCTTTTTTTTTTAATTTTTTCAAAATGGTCCGAATGGACCGTGTGGGGTATCATCGGACGCAGAATTTTGTCGGGATTACGATTCCGTGCATGTTTTTGATATATCTCTTCAAATAAGCGAGAAAAATGCTGCCCCACCTTTTTTTTTCAATTTTTTCAAAATGGTCCGAATCTACCGTGTGGGGTATCATCGGACGCAGAATTTTGTCAGGATTACGATTCCGTGCATATTTTTGAAATATCTCTTCAAATAAGCGAGAAAAATGCTGCCCCACCTTTTTTTTTTTATTTTTTCAAAATGGTCCGAATGGACCGTGTGGGGTATCATCGGACGCAGAATTTTGTCGGGATTACGATTCCGTGCATGTTTTTGATATATCTCTTCAAATAAGCGAGAAAAATGCTGCCCCACCTTTTTTTTTCAATTTTTTCAAAATGGTCCGAATAGACCGTGTGGGGTATCATCGGACGCAGAATTTTGTCAGGATTACGATTCCGTGCATATTTTTGAAATATCTCTTCAAATAAGCGAGAAAAATGCTGCCCCACCTTTTTTTTTTTATTTTTTCAAAATGGTCCGAATGGACCGTGTGGGGTATCATCGGACGCAGAATTTTGTCGGGATTACGATTCCGTGCATGTTTTTGATATATCTCTTCAAATAAGCGAGAAAAATGCTGCCCCACCTTTTTTTTTTATTTTTTCAAAATGGCCCGAATGGACCGTGTGGGGTATCATCGGACGCAGAATTTTGTCAGGACTACAATTCCGTGCATGATTTTGATATATCTCTTCAAATAAGCGAGAAAAATGCTGCCCCACCTTTTTTTTTTATTTTTTCAAAATGGTCCGAATGGACCGTGTGGGGTATCATCGGACGCAGAATTTTGTCGGGATTACGATTCCGTGCATGTTTTTGATATATCTCTTCAAATAAGCGAGAAAAATGCTGCCCCACCTTTTTTTTTCAATTTTTTCAAAATGGTCCGAATCTACCGTGTGGGGTATCATCGGACGCAGAATTTTGTCAGGATTACGATTCCGTGCATATTTTTGAAATATCTCTTCAAATAAGCGAGAAAAATGCTGCCCCACCTTTTTTTTTAATTTTTTCAAAATGGTCCGAATGTACCGTGTGGGGTATCATCGGACGCAGAATTTTGTCAGGATTACGATTCTGTGCATGTTTTTGATATATCTCTTCAAATAAGCGAGAAAAATGCTGCCCCACCTTTTTTTTTTAATTTTTTCAAAATGGTCCGAATAGACCGTGTGGGGTATCATCGGACGCAGAATTTTGTCAGGATTACGATTCCGTGCATGTTTTTGATTTATCTCTTCACATAAGCGAGAAAAATGCTGCCCCACCTTTTTTTTCAATTTTTTCAAAATGGTCCGAATGTACCGTGTGGGGTATCATCGGACGCAGAATTTTGTCAGGATTACGATTCCGTGCATGTTTTTGATATATCTCTTCAAATAAACGAGAAAAATGCTGCCCCACCTTTTTTTTTTAATTTTTTCAAAATGGTCCGAATGGACCGTGTGGGGTATCATCGGACGCAGAATTTTGTCAGGACTACCATTCCGTGCATGATTTTGATATATCTCTTCAAATAAGCGAGAAAAATGCTGCCCCACATTTTTTTTTTATTTTTTCAAAATGGCCCGAATGGACCGTGTGGGGTATCATCGGACGCAGAATTCTGTCGGGATTACGATTCCGTGCATGTTTTTGATATATCTCTTCAAATAAGCGAGAAAAATGCTGCCCCACATTTTTTTTTTATTTTTTCAAAATGGTCCGAATGGACCGTGTGGGGTATCATCGGACGCAGAATTTTGTCAGGACTACCATTTCGTGCATGATTTTGATATATCTCTTCAAATAAGCGAGAAAAATGCTGCCCCACCTTTTTTTTTTATTTTTTCAAAATGGTCCGAATGGACCGTGTGGGGTATCATCGGACGCAGAATTTTGTCGGGATTACGATTCCGTGCATGTTTTTGATATATCTCTTCAAATAAGCGAGAAAAATGCTGCCCCACCTTTTTTTTTCAATTTTTTCAAAATGGTCCGAATCTACCGTGTGGGGTATCATCGGACGCAGAATTTTGTCAGGATTACGATTCCGTGCATATTTTTGAAATATCTCTTCAAATAAGCGAGAAAAATGCTGCCCCACCTTTTTTTTTTTATTTTTTCAAAATGGTCCGAATGGACCGTGTGGGGTATCATCGGACGCAGAATTTTGTCGGGATTACGATTCCGTGCATGTTTTTGATATATCTCTTCAAATAAGCGAGAAAAATGCTGCCCCACCTTTTTTTTTCAATTTTTTCAAAATGGTCCGAATAGACCGTGTGGGGTATCATCGGACGCAGAATTTTGTCAGGATTACGATTCCGTGCATATTTTTGAAATATCTCTTCAAATAAGCGAGAAAAATGCTGCCCCACCTTTTTTTTTAATTTTTTCAAAATGGTCCGAATGGACCGTGTGGGGTGTCATCGGACGCAGAATTTTGTCAGGATTACGATTCTGTGCATGTTTTTGATATATCTCTTCAAATAAGCGAGAAAAATGCTGCCCCACCTTTTTTTTTTTTTTTTTCAAAATGGCCCGAATGGACCGTGTGGGGTATCATCGGACGCAGAATTTTGTCAGGACTACAATTCCGTGCATGATTTTGATATATCTCTTCAAATAAGCGAGAAAAATGCTGCCCCACCTTTTTTTTTTTATTTTTTCAAAATGGTCCGAATGGACCGTGTGGGGTATCATCGGACGCAGAATTTTGTCGGGATTACGATTCCGTGCATGTTTTTGATATATCTCTTCAAATAAGCGAGAAAAATGCTGCCCCACCTTTTTTTTTCAATTTTTTCAAAATGGTCCGAATCTACCGTGTGGGGTATCATCGGACGCAGAATTTTGTCAGGATTACGATTCCGTGCATATTTTTGAAATATCTCTTCAAATAAGCGAGAAAAATGCTGCCCCACCTTTTTTTTTAATTTTTTCAAAATGGTCCGAATGTACCGTGTGGGGTATCATCGGACGCAGAATTTTGTCAGGATTACGATTCTGTGCATGTTTTTGATATATCTCTTCAAATAAGCGAGAAAAATGCTGCCCCACCTTTTTTTTTTAATTTTTTCAAAATGGTCCGAATAGACCGTGTGGGGTATCATCGGACGCAGAATTTTGTCAGGATTACGATTCCGTGCATGTTTTTGATTTATCTCTTCACATAAGCGAGAAAAATGCTGCCCCACCTTTTTTTTCAATTTTTTCAAAATGGTCCGAATGGACCGTGTGGGGTATCATCGGACGCAGAATTTTGTCAGGATTACGATTCCGTGCATGTTTTTGATATATCTCTTCAAATAAACGAGAAAAATGCTGCCCCACCTTTTTTTTTTAATTTTTTCAAAATGGTCCGAATGGACCGTGTGGGGTATCATCGGACGCAGAATTTTGTCAGGACTACCATTCCGTGCATGATTTTGATATATCTCTTCAAATAAGCGAGAAAAATGCTGCCCCACATTTTTTTTTTATTTTTTCAAAATGGCCCGAATGGACCGTGTGGGGTATCATCGGACGCAGAATTTTGTCGGGATTACGATTCCGTGCATGTTTTTGATATATCTCTTCAAATAAGCGAGAAAAATGCTGCCCCACATTTTTTTTTTATTTTTTCAAAATGGTCCGAATGGACCGTGTGGGGTATCATCGGACGCAGAATTTTGTCAGGACTACCATTTCGTGCATGATTTTGATATATCTCTTCAAATAAGCGAGAAAAATGCTGCCCCACCTTTTTTTTTTATTTTTTCAAAATGGTCCGAATGGACCGTGTGGGGTATCATCGGACGCAGAATTTTGTCGGGATTACGATTCCGTGCATGTTTTTGATATATCTCTTCAAATAAGCGAGAAAAATGCTGCCCCACCTTTTTTTTTTAATTTTTTCAAAATGGTCCGAATGGACCGTGTGGGGTATCATCGGACGCAGAATTTTGTCAGGACTACCATTCCGTGCATGATTTTGATATATCTCTTCAAATAAGCGAGAAAAATGCTGCCCCACCTTTTTTTTTTAATTTTTTCAAAATGGTCCGAATGGACCGTGTGGGGTCATGTAGATTTCGAGCCGTAGAACTCAAATCCGGTTTCGGTTTTTTGATGATACATGCAACCGTTTTTCCAGAATCGACCGTTGAAATTTCAAAATTTTTGAAATTTTCAAAAATTCGCATTTCGCAACGATTTTTTCGAAAATCTTGCTTCGTGACCATAAACATGCGATATTTTTGGAATCAGCGTGTCGAGATCTACGTCCTTGAATTTTTTCATAATTTTTAGACAACTTTTCTAAAATTGAAATTTTTTAACGGTCCCCCCTTCTTCAAATTTCGCAAAAATTTTGACATTTTCGAAACGCAACTAAATACATTTTCTTGTAGATTTCGAGCTGTAGAACTCAAATTCGGCTTCGGTTTTTTGATACATGCAACTGTTTTTCCAGAATCGACCGTTGAAATTTCGAAATTTTCAGAAATTCGCATTTTGCAACGATTTTTTCGAAAATCTTGCTTCGTGACCATCAACATGCTATATTTTTGGAATCAGCGTGTCGAGATCTACGTCCTTGATTTTTTTCATAATTTTTAGACAACTTTTCTAAAATTGAAATTTTTTAACGGTCCCCCCTTCTTCAAATTTCGCAAAAATTTTGACATTTTCGAAACTCAACTAAATACATTTTCTTGTAGATTTCGAGCCGTAGAACTCAAATCCGGCTTCGGTTTTTTGATACATGCAACCGTTTTTCCAGAATCGACCGTTGAAATTTCGAAATTTTTGAAATTTTCAAAAATTCGCATTTCGCAACGATTTTTTCGAAAATCTTGCTTCGTAACCATCAACATGCTATATTTTTGGAATCAGCGTGTCGAGATCTACGTCCTTGAATTTTTTCGTAATTTTTAGACAACTTTTTTAAAATTGAAATTTTTTAACGGTCCCCCCTTCTTCAAATTTCGCAAAAATTTTGACATTTTCGAAACTCAACTAAATACATTTTCTTGTAGATTTCGAGCCGTAGAACTCAAATCCGGTTTCGGTTTTTTGATACATGCAACCGTTTTTCCAGAATCGACCGTTGAAATTTCGAAATTTTTGAAGTTTTCAAAAATTCGCATTTCGCAACGATTTTTTCGAAAATCTTGCTTCGTGACCATCAATATGCTATATTTTTGGAATCAGCGTGTCGAAATCTACGTCCTTGAATTTTTTCGTAATTTTTAGACAACTTTTAAAAATTGAAATTTTTTAACGGTCCCCCCTTCTTCAAATTTCGCAAAAATTTTGACATTTTCGAAACTCAACTAAATACATTTTCTTGTAGATTTCGAGCCGTAGAACTCAAATCCGGCTTCGGTTTTTTGATACATGCAACCGTTTTTCCAGAATCGACCGTTGAAATTTCGAAATTTTTGAAATTTTCAAAAATTCGCATTTCGCAACGATTTTTTCGAAAATCTTGCTTCGTAACCATCAACATGCTATATTTTTGGAATCAGCGTGTCGAGATCTACGTCCTTGAATTTTTTCGTAATTTTTAGACAACTTTTTTAAAATTGAAATTTTTTAACGGTCCCCCCTTCTTCAAATTTCGCAAAAATTTTGACATTTTCGAAACTCAACTAAATACATTTTCTTGTAGATTTCGAGCCGTAGAACTCAAATCCGGTTTCGGTTTTTTGATACATGCAACCGTTTTTCCAGAATCGACCGTTGAAATTTCGAAATTTTTGAAGTTTTCAAAAATTCGCATTTCGCAACGATTTTTTCGAAAATCTTGCTTCGTGACCATCAATATGCTATATTTTTGGAATCAGCGTGTCGAAATCTACGTCCTTGAATTTTTTCGTAATTTTTAGACAACTTTTAAAAATTGAAATTTTTTAACGGTCCCCCCTTCTTCAAATTTCGCAAAAATTTTGACATTGTCGAAACTCGACTAAATACATTTTCTTGTAGATTTCGAGCCGTAGAACTCAAATCCGGCTTCGGTTTTTTGATACATGCAACCGTTTTTCCAGAATCGACCGTTGAAATTTCGAAATTTTTGAAATTTTCAAAAATTCGCATTTCGCAACAAGAAAATGAATTTAGTTGAGTTTCGAAAATGTCAAAATTTTGGCGCAGTCGGTAGGATGGAAATTCAAACCCAATTTTCATATCCACCCAAAGTAGCCAATAGTTTTCAGATATTCGTGTAAAGAGCAAATTTCAGAGTGCGTGTCAAGCAACCATACCCTCTTAATTAATACACACAAAACATCCCCAGAGTGAGATTACTCACAAACAATACACACGTTTTTAAAAAAACATGTTTATTCAGTTTTGTGTTTTTGCAAGAATAATAACTTCCTCCCGTCCGTTAAAATGTACTTTTTGGCCGGCGTGCTAGTGATTGTTTTACTACCTCACAGTAAAAGTGTCGTCGAGGCATATAAAGCTGCCGTTCTCGAGTACCACCCCATCGTCGCAGACACCCCTAGAAACACAATTTTGTGGAACTTGCACGAATACAAAAACTACGCTTCCAAAGCCAAACAACAAGTATAAACCCACAGGTGCCTATTTTAGCTAAGTCAACGGTTTTAGAGTGCTGACATTATCGTCTTCCCGGAGTACGGTCTCACTGGTTTGGTCAACAACACGAAAATGTATGCAGTGGAAGTGTACGAGTTTTCTGACGTGATAATTTACCTCAAAGGTATAGCTGCTGAACACCAGATATACATGGTGGTTAATTTACTGGAACGAGCACACAAGTTCTGCTGCGACATCCCCGAGTACTATAGTACGACTGTGGTTTTCGACAGATCTGGTACTATCGTGGCTCGGTATATTTTAATTTCAGTACGTGACAAGAGATTTTATATATATTATAGTTACAGAAAAATAAATCTTTTTAATGAAGCAGAACTCACACCAGGGCAGCGCAACCAAAACAATTTTTTTGGTACTGACTTTAACGTCAGTTTTGCCATTTTGGCTTCACATGATGTTCTTTTCAAATATCCGTCCAAGGGTGTACAAGACGTGGTTTGTCCCACTGCTTGGGCCTCTACCATACCCTTCTACTTTTGTAAATATAGAAACACATATAAGTATCCAATTTGACTAACTTTGTTACTAGCGTTAAGCATCCAGCGCGGTTACGCCCTTTCCAATGACGTCACGATGTTGGTGGCCGGTTTTAACCAGCCGTGGAAGAGTTTTAGTGGCACTGGAATTTACCTACGCGATGGAGGCGTAGCAGAGGCTTTCTACACGGACTCAGCCACAAATCGCCTGATTGTACGAGAAGTACCAAACATTCAGACCAATGCGTGCGTCACTGTAACCTCTCTAACTCTATTTCTTGAATCTTACCCTGTAATTTGCGTTTCTAGGACCTAAAGCGCATTTCACACTACGCTATGTCGAGTGTTAACTACGTTCTACAGACAGACTTCCACCCGTCTATTTACAGCGCTCGAGGTGTCAATTTCGCTAACAAAAGTACCACCGAAAAAATTTGCGATGGGGATTTTTGTTGCACTTTCCACATCGCTACTGAAAGTACCACTTCGTCACTGCACAAGTATATAGTTACGTTTTTGGAGCATGCATTAATTTCCGCACGCGTGCCGACCAATCACAACAAAACATTCAAACTGGCGCCAAATTCAAATATTATTCATTGTGTGGTTTTCGATTTTTCAGTTATTTCATTTTTTGCTTTGTTAGTTCTCGCATTTTACAACTTTTTGAGTTTTGAACTTTTAGGTTTTTAATTTTTCAATTTCGTGTTTTTTTATTTCTGAGTAAAAAAAAAATCCAAAAATTTCAAAATGAAAATCGAGAAACTAAAAAATTGAAACACCGAAAAGTTGGAAAAACGAAAAAATTTTGCAATTTTTCAATTTTAAAGTTTTCAAGATTTTGATTTCCAATTTTAATCAAAGTAAAATTTTGCAAAATCGAATAACTGTAACACCGAAACATTAAAAAATGCAACAATTAAAAATCGAGAAATTGAAAAATCGACAAAACGCAGCAATTCTGCAATTTTTCCATATAATATTTTTTAAATTCTCGATTTTTCATTTTTTAATTGTTCAACAAAAGGACAAATTTATTCAAACCGAAATTTTGAAAAATTTAAAAATCGGAAAATTGTAACATTGAAATGTCAAAAAATTGTAAAATTGAAAATTCAAAAAATTAAAAAATTGAAAAGTCGAAGAATTGAAAAAATAAAGGTAAATTGAAAAAACCGAAAAAATGAGAATCAAAAATTGGAAAATGAAACTTGAAATATCGAAAAATTGAAAAATCGAAAAATGAAAAAATTAAGAAATTAAATTGGATAATTGAAAAATCGAAAAATTGTAATAATGAAACCTGAAAACTATGATTAATTAAAAATCGAGAAATTGAAAAATCGACAAAACGAAGCAATTCTGCAATTTTTAGATATATTTTTCAAATTCTCGATTTTTCATTTTTTCATTTTCCAACAAAAGGACCAATTTATTCAAACCGAAATTTTGAAAAATTTAAAAATCAGAAAATTGCAACATTGAAACGTCTAAAAATTATAAAATTGAAAAATCAAAAAAATTAAAAATTGCGAAGTCGAAGAATTGAAAAAATAAAGAAAAATTGAAAAACCCGAAAAAATAAGATTCAAAAATTCAAAAATGAAACTTGATATTGAAAAATTTTAAAATTGAAAAATTGAAAAATGAAAAAATGACAAATTAAACAAGTGGATAATTGAAAAAACAATTGAAAAATCGAAAAATTGTAATACAGAAACCTGAAAAGCCTGATTAATTAAAAATCGAGAAATCGAAAAATCGATAAAACGAAGCAATTTTGCAATTTTTCGATATAAAATTTTTCAAATTCTCGATTTTTAATTTTTCATTTTCTCGATTTGTCATTTTTCAATTGCTCAACAAAAGGAAAAATTTATTCAAACCGAAAAAATGAGACTTAAAATCTGAAAAATGAAAAATTGAGAAATTGAACAATGGGATAATTGAAAAATCAATTGAAAAATCGAAAAATTGTAATATTGAAACCTGAAAACCCTGATTAATTAAAAATCGAGAAAGTAAAAAATTGAAAAAACGAAAAACAAAAACTTCTAAAATTAAACAATCAAAAATACAAAAAAAAAATTTCAAAATTCAAAAATTTTAAAATGAAAACCGGAAAACGAAAAATTTAAAAATTGAGAAATCGAAGAATTGAAAAAATACAGAAACTGAAAAATCGAAAAGTCAAAAATTGAATAATAAAAACACTAACAATTGTTTAAAAAAGTGAAAAATTAAAAATCGACAAATTTAAAAAACAATTACAAAATTGTAAATTTGTAAAAAAAATTGAAAAATTGGAGAATTGGCAAACTGAAAATTGGGTAGCGAAAAAACAATTAAAAAGTGGAACAACTGAGAAAAATATAGAAACTGTAAAATCGAAAATTTGTAACATTGAAAGCTGAAAAAGCGAGAAATTAAAAATCTAGGAATTAACAAATCGAAAAAAGAAAAATTGTAAAATTCAACAGATAGAAAAAGGAAAAATTAAAAAGCAAATTAGAAAATATTTACAAATTAAAAAATCGAAAAATAAAAAAAATTTACTGAACAATTTCATAATGAAAATCGAAAAACTAAAAAATGGAGAAATGGAAACACGGAAAAATCGAAAAATTATAAATTCAAAAAACGAAAAATATAAAAATTGAGAAGTCGAAGAATTGAAAAAATAAATAAAAATTCAAAAAACCGAAAACATGAGAATCAAAAATTGAAAAATGAAACTTGAAATATCGAAAAATTTTAAAATTGAAAAATCGAAAAATGAAAAAATGATAAATTAAACAAGTGGATAATTGAAAAAACAATTGAAAAATCGAAAAATTGTAATATAGAAACCTGAAAACCCTGATTAATTAAAAATCGAGAAAATTGGAAAAACGAAAAACAAAAATTTTTATAAATTAAATAACTCGAAAATCCAAAAATTCTTAATTTCAAAATCCAAAAATTTTAAAATGAAGATCGGAAAACAAAAAAATTAAGAAATTGTAAAAAAGAAACATGGAAAAATCGAAAAATTGTAACATGGAAAAGACGAAACACTGAAAAACATAAAAATATAAAAACCGAGAAATCGAACATTTGAAAAAAATACAGAAACTGAAAAATTGGATAATTCAAAAGCCAAGAATTGTACACTTGAAAAAAAACCCTAAAAATTATTTGAAAAAAGTGAAAAATTAAAAATCTGGAAATTTAAAAATCAAATACAATTACAAAATTGTAAATTTGAAAAAAATAAATAAAACGTAAAATCGAAAATTTGTAACATTGAAACCTGTAAAAGTGATGAATTAAAAATTGAGAAATTGAAAAATCGAAAAAATGTAAAAAGATGGAAAATCGAAAAATGAAAAAGCAGCTTGGAAAATCGAAAAATTAAAATATCTGCAAATTAAAAAAATCGAAAAATACAAAAATTTTACCGAAAAATAAAAATCATAATGAAAATCGAGAAACTAAAAAATTGAGAAATCGAAACACGGAAAAATCGAAAAATGAACGATTGAAAAAAACAAAAATTTAAAAATTTCGAATTGAGAAAATACAAAATCGAAGAAACGAAACAACTTGGAATTACGTTCTTGGAAATCCTTTTTCAACAAAAGGACAAACTTATTGAACGTGAAATTAAAAAAAATCAAACAAATCGGAAAATTGTAACACTGAAACATCAAAAAACAAAATAATTAAAAATCGAGAAATTCAAAAATTTACAAAAAGAAGCAATTTTGCAGTTTTTCGATATAAAATTTTTCAAATTCCAATTTTGTATTCTCTATTTTCTCGATTTTTCATTTTTTTATTGTTGAAAAAAAGGGCAAATTTATTCAAACCGAAATTTTGAATTGAATTTAAAAATGAAAAAATAAGAAATCGAATTGAAAAAATAAAGAAAACTTGAAAAATCGAAAAATGAAAAAATTGAGAAACTGGACAATAGGATAATTGAAAAAACAAAAAACAAAAATTTCTATAAATTAAATAACCAAAAATCCAAAAATTCTTAATTTCAAAATCCAAAAATTTTAAAATGAAGATCGGAAAACTAAAAAATTAAGAAATTGTAAAAAAGAAACATGGAAAAATTGTAACATCGAAAAGACGAAACACTGAAAAACCGAAAAATTTAAAAACCGAGAAATCGAAGATTTGAAAAAATACAGAAACTGAAAAATCGGATAATTGAAAAGCCAAGAATTGTACACTCGAAAAAACCCTAAAAATTATTTGAAAAAAGTGAAAAATTAAAAATCGGGAAATTTAAAAATGAAATACAATTACAAAATTGTAAATTTGAAAAAATAAATAAAAACGTAAAATCGAAAATTTGTAACATTGAAACCTGTACAAGTGATAAATTAAAAATTGAGAAATTGAAAAATCGAAAAAACGAAAAAATGTAAAAAGATGGAAAATCCAAAAATTAAAATATTTGCAAATTAAAAAATCGAAAAATACAAAAATTTTACCGAAAAATAAAAATCATAATGAAAATCGAAAAACTAAAAAATCGAGATATCGAAACACGAAAGAATCGAAAAATTAACTATTAAAAAAAAACAAAAAATAAAAATTTCGAACTGAGAAAATAAAAAATCGAAGAAACGAAACAACTTGACATTACGTACTTGGGAATACTTAATTTTTAATTTTTCACTACAATAATAATAATAATAATAAAATTTAATTTTTCATTACTTATTGAAAGTGAAATTTTAAAAAATCAAAAAAATCGGAAAATTGTAACACTGCAACATCGAAAAATTGGAAAAGAAACATTGAAAAACCGAAAAATTTAAAAGATGAGAAATCGAAGAATTGAAAAAATACAGAAACTAAAAAATCGAAAAATGGAAAAGTCAAAAATTGAATAATAAAAACCCTAATAATTATTGAAAAAAGTGAAAAATTAAATTAATATTAATAAGATTTAAAAATGGAAAAATTGAAAATCAAATATTGAAAAACCAAACTTGAAATATCGAAACATTGGAAAAATTGGCAAACTGAAAATTGGGTAGCGAAAAAACAGTTAAAAAATGGAACAACTGAGAAAAAGATAGAAACTGTAAAATCGAAAATTTGTAACATTGAAACCTGAAAAAGTGTTAAAGTAAAAATCTAAGAATTGAAAAATCGAAAAAACGAAAAATTGTAAAATTCAACAGATAGAAAATCGAAAAATACAAAATTTTTACTGAAAGATCCAACAATTTCATAATGAAAATCGAAAAACTAAAACATGGAGAAATCGAAACATCGAAAAATCGAAAAATTATCAATTAAAAAAACGAAAAATGTAACAATCTCGAATTGAGAAATCAAAAAATCGAAGAAACAAAATAATTTGGACTTACCTACTTGGAAGTACTTTATTTTTAATTTTATATTTTCTCAATTTTTCGTTTTTTAATTTTTCAACAAAAGGACAAACTTATTAAAAATGAAATTTTAAAAAATCAAAAAATCGGAAAATTGTAAACCTGAAAAATTAAAAAATCAAAAAATTAAAAACTGAAAAATCGAAAAAGAAACATTGAAAAACCGAACAATTTAAAAATTGAGAAGAATTTAAAAACTGTAATCTTAAATCTTGAGAAACTGAAAACTTCGGTAATAGAAAAAACAACTGAAAATTTGAAAAATTGAAAAAAGAAACTGATTAATTAAAAATCATATAGAAAAATCGACAATTGTAAAATTCAAAAGTTGAAGAGTGTCAAAATAAACATCGAAAAACTGTAAAATTAAAAAATCGAAAACTGAAAAATTGAAAAAAATGAAACATTGAATAAAAAAAATTGAAATACCGAAATGTTGAAAAAATAGCGAAAGTAAAAAATCGGATAACGAAAAAATCAACAATCGAAAAATCAAAAAATGGAAAAATCGAAAAAACGAGAGCTCAGACCACACAGCTGAAAGCAATAATGTTCGTTGTGATTGGTCGGCACGGGTGCGCAAATTAATCTACGCTCGTTTTTGGTACTTGAATCCTTAACATAACCTCACTTTTGCAGACTGATGGTGTACGACGGTCGCATTGTTTACGACAGGCGGTCACTCCATGTCCAGATATGCGGCTTGGTATCGTGTGAGACCGACTCGGTTGACAGCTGCGGCAAGAGGTTGGACACAAGCACCGAGTTCACGAAAATTAGCGTCCGGGGAAATTTTTCAAGCAAAGAAATTTCGTACTTACCCTTGGCGCTGGATTATGACCTGCTGCCCCTAGACAACATTGCGTATTGCCAACATAATAATACTGACTTTTTGTCAGTGGAGTTGACAGCAACCAATCAGACGAAAGTTTTCGTTTTTGGCTTTGTGGGACAGGTGAACTGCGCCACTTCTGGTCAGAGGGGTCATCTGTTTTTGTTAGTGCTATATTTATTGACGATGTTGTGGGGGGAATTTTAAATAAAACAAAAATGGTTCCCTAATTAACGTTGTTATATAATCTGACGTACATTTTACAAACTATTGGAAGAAAAAACTTAGAATTATTTATATGCGAATTACAGGTTTGTGTTTTTTGATTATTGTTTGATTGTTTTTATTGTCCTTTATTTTACTTGTGGAGTGGTGAGTCTGCGTCGAGCGTTGACAGTTTCACCTCGAATAATATTTATACAAGGTGAGTCACTAAACGCTCTTATTTAAGTACGTGATGTGAAGCTCAACGGTTGAATAAGATTGTGACGGCGTAAGTCATTGCCCTTTTGAAAATTGGGAATTAAAAATGCGTTCTCTGATAATACTAATACTGGAAAATGACAGGTGGACGATGTTACGTAGAGTGAAATGAAACCACACTTGTTGTATCACTTGTATGTTTAATACATGTAGTTTTACAAAAACTTTACATTGAAAAGTAAATATTTGATTATTAAACAAATAACATTAAAATAAGAATTTTCTATTCCTAAATGTTGCACGTAATGCATACGTTATATTTTCACAAAAAGAAAAAAAATTTGGAAAAACCCGCGACAACTCTCCAAGCAACCGCTTAACGTTTAAAATGAGTGAAATTAAGAGAAAGTATATTCCAGGTATTACCACAATCCTGCAAAAGAAGAATGATTACTGCAACAGTCAAATCTCCAACCACGATAAATTTCAGAAATGCCAATTTCGATAACAAAATGTCCCTAATCTACTTTAATAAATAATTTAATATGTAAAAATCCATTGTTCCTAACGATTAAATAAAACTTTATAAATATACTCATGATATCTGTTATCCGTAAGCTTATGATTATAAAAAGCCAACTATACCGTCTGGGAAGAATTACACAAAAAATTGTAAACATCATTGTTGCACCTGTATATTTGATTCCTGAGCGCTGCTACTGTCACCTGTTTGGGAGTCGCTGGTCACCGAGCCGTCGCCCTCGTACAACGAGACGTCCTCCTCCTTCATCTTACCTTTGAGGTCGATGGGGGGCGGAGCCACGATAGGAATCGCCGCCTTGGGGCGTTTGAGCGGGACGGAGCGCTGCGACACCTGCTGGTCGGTCGAGTAATACGTGATCCCGCCCTGGGGCTGGTACAGCTCCGGCTGCGACTGCGACAACGCTCAAAATCCAGTAACCAAAGAGCGACCACTTACCACTTGATTGAACTGCTGCTGGTAGCCCTGGTAGCCCTGCGGGAACTGCGGCTGGCTCGGCACGTAGTTGATGATCTGCGGCGTCTGCGGGGGGATGAACGGGGGAGGGGCCGCTTGCAGGAAGGGCGGGGCCTGGGCGAAGGGCGGCGCGAACTGGGGCGGGGCCTGCAGGATGGGCGCGGCCGTCACCGGCACCTGCGGGATGGGCGGCAGCGGCGGCGGCGCGATCTGCGGGACCTGGGTCGTGGACGGATGAATTTGTGCGTTCTGATGAATCACTTGGTTCTGGTTGAATTCTGCAAGCAAAATAACCATAAAAAAACCCCTCTAGTACCATTTCACACCCAACTAAAAACTTGTCGTACCATTTGAGTAGTAATTCGTGTGCTGCGGCTGCGTGAAGGGCGGCGTGGCTGACTCAGGCAGTGACCGCTGACGTATGGAACTATACCTCTTCGAGCCCTTCTGCTCCGACTGCAGCCTCGGCGGAACGCTGCCCTGCCTCTGCCCGCCGTGCTTGCCCTTCGCCGAGCCCTCCTGGACGCTCAGCTTCGACAAGTCCTTCTCCAGCTCCTGGACGTTGTTGTTCTTGTTGGTATTCGTGAAGTTCTGCGTCTGAATCGGCTCGTCTTTTTTCTGTTTCGGAAGGACTTTCTGGTCGGTTTTCATGTTCCGGACCTGGCGCGTCTTCGTGGTGAAGCCCCGGTAGTCCGAATCTTTGATTTCGCGTTTGGGTTTGACGACCCGGCCCGAGCCGACGCGCTGCTGCTGGCTGCGGTAGAACTCCTGGGGCGGCGGGGGCGGCTGCGCGTGCTCGGGCTGTGGCGGGTTGCGGTGGTTGCCGTTGGTCTCGGGGGCGGGCTCGGGCGGTTCGGGCTTGTCGTCTTCTCTCGGTCGGTCTCGGTTCCTGTCGTTGAGCGGGGGAAATTCTTCGCTGCGGTTGGTCGGCTTCTTGGGGATCTTCTTGATGCGGGTGGGGGCGGGTTTGCTGTAGGCGTCTTCGTCTTCCCAGTTGCGGGTGTACTTGTTGGGGCCGCGGCTAGAAAGAAACAGAATATGAAAAATAATGAGCATTAATTTGCGCACGTTTAAAAATTATAAAATTGAAAAATCAAAAAATTAGAAAAATTGAGAAGTCGAAGAATTGAAAAAATTAAGAAAAATTGAAAAAAACCGAAAAAATGAGGATCAAAAATTGAAAAATGAAACTTGAAATATGGAAAAATTTTAAAATTGAAAAATCTAAAAATGAAAAAAATGAGGAATGAAACAAATGGATAATTGAAAACACAATTGAAAAATCGAAAAATTGTAATATAGAAACCTAAAAATCCTGCTTAATTAAAAAATTGTATTCAAACTGAACTTTTGAAACACCGGAAAATTTGAGAAACTGACAAATCGACAAAAAGAAACAATTCTGCAATTTTTCGATGTAGAATTCAACAAAAGGACAAATTTATTTAAACCGAAATTTTGAATTTAAAAAATAAAGAAAACTTGAAAAAACCGAAAAAATGGGCCTTAAAAACTGAAAAATTGAACAATAGGATAATTGAAAACAATTGAAAAATCGAAAAATTGTAATATTGAACTTGAAAACCCTGATTAATTAAAGATCGAGAAAGTGAAAAATTGAAAGAACGAAAAACAAAAATTTCTATAAATTAAATAACCAAAAATCCAAAGATTTGAATAATACAGAAACTGAAAAATCGGATAATTGAAAAGCCAAGAACACTTGTCCACTTGAAAAAAAACCGTAAATATTATTTGAAAAAAGTGAAAAATTAAATTTCGGGAAATTTAAAAATGAAATACAATTACAAAATTGTCAATTTGAAAAAAATAAATAAAAACGTGAAATCGAAAATTTGTAACATTGAAACCTGTAGAAGTGATAAATTAAAATTTGAGAAATTGAAAAATCGAAGAAACGAAAAAATGTAAAAAGATGGAAAATCGAAAAATTAAAATATCTACAAATTAAAAAATCGAAAAATACAAAAATTTTACCGAAAAATAAAAATCAATGAAAATCGAAAAACTAAAAAATCGAGATATCGAAACATGGAAAAATCGAAAAATTAACAATAAAAAAAAAAAATAAAAATTTTCAAAGTGAAAAATTAAAAATCGGCAAATTTAAAAATGGAGAAATTGAAAATCAATTATTGAAAAGCCAAACTTGAAATATCGAAAAATTGGAAAAATTGGCAAACTGAAAATTGGGTAGCGAAAAAACAGCTAAAAATGGAACAACTGAGAAAAAGATAGAAACTGTAAAATCGAAAATTTGTAACATTGAAACCTGAAAAAGCGATAAATTAAGAATCTAGGAATTGAAAAATCGATACAACGAAAAATTGTAAAATTCAACAGATCGAAAAACGAAAAATTGTAAAATTCAACACATCGAAAAACGAAAAATGGAAAAGCAAATTAGAAAATCGAAAAATTAAAATATTTACAAGTCAAAAAATCGAAAAATACAAACATTTTATTGAAAGATGCAAAAATTTCATAATAAAAATCGAAAAACTAAAAATTGGAATTACCTACTAGGAAGTACTTTATTTTTAATTTTTTATTATCTCAATTTTTCGTTTTGTAATTTTTCAACAAAAGGACAAACTTAGTAAAAGTGAAATTTTAAAAAATCAAAAAATCGGAAAATTGTAGCACTGAAACATCGAAAAATCGAAAAACAAACTTTGAAAAACCGAATAATTTAAAAACTGAGAAATCAAAAAACTGCAAAAATAAAGAAACTCAAAATCGAATAATTAAGAGGTTAACAATTGGAAAAGGAAAAATTGTAACCTTAAAATGAAAAAAATTGAAACTTCAAAAAACAAAAAAATCGAACAATTGCAAAATTGTATATCAAAAATAGAAAAAACGAAACTTGAAACACTTAGAAATTTAAAAATTGTATTTCAGGGTGTTTCAAGTTTCGTTTTTTCTATTTTTGATTTTCAATTTTGCAATTGTTCGATTTTTCTCTTTTTTTAATTTTCAATTTTTTCATTTTTAAGGTGACAATCTTAAAACTTGAGAAACGCAAAACTTCGATAATTGAAAAAACTGAAAATTTGAAAAACTGAAAAAAAAACTGTACAATCGAAAAACTGATGAATTAAAAATCCAGAAATAGAAAAATACGGAAAACAAAATTTTCTAGAAATAGAAAAATCGACAAATTGTCAAATTTTTCAAATTCTCAATTTTTAATTCTTTATTTTCTAGATTTTTGATTTTTTCATTGTTCAACAAAAGGACAAATTTATTCAAACCGAAATTTTGAAAAATTTAAAAATTGAGAAGTTGAAGAATTGAAAAAATAAAGGATAATTGAAAAAAACGAAAAAATGCGAATCAAAAATTGAAAAATGAAAATTGAAATATAGAAACCTGAAAACCCTGATTAATTAAAAATCGAGAAATTGAAAAGTCGATGAAACAAAGCAATTCTGCAGTTTTTCAATATAAAATTTTTCAAATTCTCGATTTTTAATTTTTTAATTGCTCAACAAAGGACAATTTTATTCAAACTGAACTTTTGAAACATCGAAAAATTGTAACACTGAAACATTAAAAAACAAAACAAATAAAAATCGACAAAAAGAACAATTCTGCAATTTTTCGATATAAAATTCAACAAAAGGACAAATTTATTCAAACCGAAATTTTGATTGAATTGAAAAATCAAACAAATGAAAAATCGAAGAATTGAAAATATAAAGAAAACTTGAAAAAACCGAAAAAATGAGATTTAAAAACTGAAAGATCCAAAAATTGTAATATTGAAACCTGAAAACCCTGATTAATTAAAAATCGAGAAAGTGAAAAAGTGAAAAATTGAAAAAACGAAAAACAAAAATTTCTATAAATTAAATAACCACAAATCCAAAAATTCTTAATTTCAAAATCCAAAAGTTTTAAAATGAAGACCGGAAAACCAAAAAATTAAGAAATTGTAAAAAAGAAACATGGAAAAATTTAAAAATTGTAACATCGAAAAGACGAAACACTGAAAAACCGGAAAATTTAAAAACCGAAAAATCCAAGATTTGAAAAAATACAGAAACTGAAAAATCGGATTATTGAAAGCCAAGAATTGTACACTTGAAAAAACCCTAAAAATTATTTGAAAAAAGTGAAAAATCAAAAATTGGGAAATTTAAAAATGAAATACTATCACAAAATTGTAAATTTGAAAAAAATAAATAAAAATGTAAACTCGAAAATATGTAACCTGTAAAAGTGATAATTTAAAAATTGAGAAATTGAAAAATCGAAAAAACGAAAAAATGTAAAAAGATGGAAAATCGAAAAATTAAAAAGTAACTTGGAAAATCGAAAAATTAAAATATCTGCAAATTAAAAAATCGAAAAATACAAAAATTTTACCGAAAAATTAAAATCATAATGAAAATCGAAAAACTAAAAAATCGAAACACAGAAAAATCGAAAAATTAACGATTAAAAAAAACAAAAATTTAAAAATTTCGAATTGAGAAAATAAAAAATCGAAGAAACGAAACAACTTGGAATTACGTACTTGGAAATATTTAAATTTTAATTTTTCATTTTCTCAATTTTTCGTTTTGTAATTTTTCAACAAAAGGACAAACTTATTAAAAGTGAAATTTTAAAAAACCAAAAAATCGTAAAATTGTAACACTGAAACATCGAAAAATCGAAAAAGAAACATTGAAAACCCTAATAATTTAAAAATTGAGAAATCGAAAAACTGCAAAAATAAAGAAACTCAAAATCGAATAATTAAGAGGTCAACAATTGGAAAAGGAAAAATTGTAAGCTTTAAAATGAAAAAATTGAAAATTTAAAAAGAAAAATCGAACAATTGCAAAATTGAAAATCAAAAATAGAAAAAACGAAACTTGAAACACCTAGAAATTTAAAAATTGTATTTCTGGGTGTTTCAAGTTTCGTTTTTTCTATTTTTGATTTTCAATTTTGCAATTGTTCGATTTTTCTGTTTTTTAATTTTCAATTTTTTCATTTTTAAGGTGACAATCTTAAAACTTGAGAAACGGAAAACTTCGATAATTGAAAAAACTGAAAATTTGAAAAATTGAAAAAAAAACTGTACAATCGAAAAATTGATTAATTAAAAATCCAGAAATAGAAAAATACGGAAAACAAAATTTTCTAGAAATAGAAAAATCGACAAATTGTAAAATTTTTCAAATTCTCAATTTTTAATTCTTTGTTTTCTAGATTTTTCATTTTTGCATTGTTCAACAAAAGGACAAATTTATTCAAACCGAAATTTTGAAAAATTTAAAAACCAAAAAATTTAAAAATTAAGAAGTCGAAGAATTGAAAAAATAAAGAATAATTGAAAAAAACGAAAAAATGAGAATCAAAAATTGAAAAATGAAAATTGAAATATCGAAAAATTGTAATATAGAAACCTGAAAACCCTGATTAATTAAAAATCAACAAAATAAAGCAATTCTGCAATTTTTCGATATAAAATTCAACAAAAGGGCAAATTATTCAAACCGAAATTTTGAATTGCATTGAAAAATAAAAAAAATGAGAAATTGAAGAATCGAAAATATAAAAACTTGAAAAAACCGAAAAAATGAGACCTAAAAACTGAAAAATCAAAAAATTGTAATATTGAAACCTGAAAACCCTGATTAATTAAAAATCGAGAAAGTGAAAAAGTGAAAAATTGAAAAAACGAAAAACAAAAATTTCTATAAATTAAATAACCAAAAATCCATAAATTCTTAATTTCAAAATCCAAAAGTTTTAAAATGAAGCCCGGAAAACCAAAAAATTAAGAAATTGTAAAAAAGAAACATGGAAAAATTAAAAAATTGTAACATCGAAAAGACGAAACACTGAAAAACCGGAAAATTTAAAAACCGAGGAATCGAAAATTTGAAAAAATACAGAAACTGAAAAATCGGATAATTGAAAAGCCAAGAATTGTATGTACACTTGAAAAAAAATCCTAAAAATTATTTGAAAAAAGGAAAAATTAAAAATCGGGAAATTTAAAAATGAAATACAATTACAAAATTGTAAATTTGAAAAAAATAAATAAAAACGTAAAATCGAAAATTTGTAACTTTGAAAACTGTAGAAGTGATAAATTAAAAATTGAGAAATTGAAAAATCGAAAAATTAAAATATCTGCAAATTAAAAAATCGAAAAATAAAAAAAATGTACCGAAAAATAAAAATCATAATCAAAATCGAAAAACTAAAAAATCGAGATATCGAAACACGGAAAAATCGAAAAATTAACAATTAAAAAAGAAAAAACAAAAATTACATCCTTGGAAATACTTCATTTTTAATTTTTTATTTTCTCAATTTTTCAACAAAAGGACAAACTTATTGAAAGTGAAATTTTAAAAAATCAAAAAAATCGGAAAATTGTAACACTGAAACATCGAAAAATCGAAAAAGAAACACTGAAAAACCGAATCATTTAAAAATTGAGAAATCGAAAAACTGCAAAAATAAAGAAACTCAAAATCGAATAATTAACAGGTCAACAATTGGAAAAGGAAAAATTGTAAGCTTAAAAATGAAAAAACTGGAAATTTAAAAAACAGAAAAATCGAACAATTGCAAAATTGAAAATCAAAAATAGAAAAAACGAAACTTGAAACACCTAGAAATTTAAAAATTGTATTTCTGGGTGTTTCAAGTTTCGTTTTTTTTATTTTTGATTTTCAATTTTGCAATTGTTCGATTTTTTTGTTTTTTTAATTTTGAATTTTTTCATTTCTAAGGTGACAATCTTAAAACTTGAGAAACGGAAAACTTCGATAATTGAAAAAACAACTGAAAATTTGAATAATTGAAAAAAAAAAACTGTAGAAATAGAAAAATAAGGAAAACAAAATTTTCTAGAAATAGAAAAATCGCCAAACTGTAAAATTCAAAAATTGAAGAACCGAAAAATTAAAATATCTAGACACTAAAAAATCGAAAAATACAAAAAATTTAAATTGAAAAATCCAAAAATGTCAAAATAAACATCGAATGTGTAAAATTAAAAAATCGAAAACTGAAAAATTGAAAAAAAAAGACGAAACATTGAATAAAAAAATTGAAATACCGAAATGTTGAAAAAATAACGAAATTAAAAAATCGGATAACGAAAAAATCAACAACTGAAAAATCAAAAAATAAAAATCGAAAAAACGAGGAACTGTCAAATCTAAAAATTTTAACATTGAAACCTGAAAAAACTGACGAAATAAAAATCGAAAAACTGAAAAATCGAGATATCGAAGCACGGAAAAATCGAAAAATTAATAATTTAAAAAAAACACAAAAATTTAAAAACTTCGAATTGAGAAAATAAAAAATCGAAGAAACGAAACAACTTGGAATTACTTACTTGGAAATGCTTTATTTTTAATTTTTCATTTTCTCAATTTTTCGTTTTGTAATTTTTCAACAAAAGGACAAACTTAGTAAAAGTGAAATTTTAAAAAATTAAAAAATCGGAAAATTGTAACATCGAAAAATCGAAAAAGAAACACTGAAAAACCGAACAATTTAAAAATTGAGAAATCGAAAAACTGCAAAAATAAAGAAACTCAAAATCGAATAATTAAGAGGTCAACAATTGGAAAAGGAAAAATTGTAACCTTAAAAGTGAAAAAACTGAAAATTTAAAAAACAGAAAAATCGAACAATTGCAAAATTGAAAATCAAAAATAGAAAAAACGATTTTCAATTTTGTAATTGTTCGATTTTTCTATTTTTTTAATTTTCAATTTTTTCATTTTTAGGGTGACAATCTTAAAACTTGAGAAACGGAAAACTTCGATGATTGAAAAACAACTGAAAATTTGAAAAATTGGAAAAAAAAACCTGTAAAATCGAAAAACTGATTAATTAAAAATCCAGAAATAGAAAAATGCGGAAAACAAAATTTTCTAGAAATAGAAATTCGACAAATTGTAAATTAAAAAATCGTAAACTGAAAATTGAAAAAAAACCGAAACAATGAATAATAAAAAAAATTGAACCACCAACAAAAAATAAAAATATCTTAAAATGGAAAAGTCGAAAAAACGAGAAACTGTCAAATCTAAAAATTATAACACTGAAACTTGAAAAATCTGACGGATTAAAAATCGAGAAACTGAAAAATCGACAACAAAAAATAAAAAAATGCAAGAACTCTAAAATAAAAATCGAAAAACTGAGAATCTTAAAAACTTCAAAAATCGTTGCGAATTAATATTAGCAATAATATTCGACTTTGAGCCAGTTTGAATTTAGCGCCGATGTACTTCGTTGTGATTGGTCGGAAATTAATGTATTGCAACTTAGTGTCTTTTCGTGGATTGGCAGTGCTGACTGTTCAGTGTCAAACAAGATTTTAGGGTGAAATTCAAGGTCTCTTTATAGTTTTAGGTTAGGGTATATTATGACCTTGAAGAGACATGTTGATGACGTAGAAAGTACCTCCTACGCGGTCAATTTTAAATCTAGTTACTTTTTCCCATAACATTGCAAGAGCGATTTTGCCGAAACTGGCAAAACCTTTGTAGGCAGGACGTAATCACAGTCTGGGTAGTTCACAACAAGATCCCAAAAACCCTAACGAGGTACTTTCTACGTCACAACCGACTGGTGGCTACCCTTTCCCCTGTAACAGGTCTGTCAACAAACTCGCTGTTTGCACTAACCTAAAACCGAGTCATAATTAGGGAACCTTGGGTGAAATTAAACGACTTCAGAAAATTATGGCTACCCAGATCTAGTGACTTTTGTTACAAAACCTGACTAAGGGCAAAACTGACGCAGTGACATTTGACGTCTAAAATGTGGTTATCTAACACTACTTTCTTCACATGTCGAACTCGCAACATTTTTTTTCCCTTCACGCCAATTTCTACTTAATGATAATGCATTCAAGCCACTGACCTTGAAACGATGAAAAATTAAATTTAATTAAATCGGGAAAATTACTACGTCTCTGAAGATTTCAAACTTAAACATTTTACTGAAATTACCCGTATCTCCTACGCCTTCTGGCTCTTGGAGGTCCATCCTCATTCCTGATGTCATATCCATAAATCGCTACTAGTTCAGACCTAGATTTTGGGGCCTGCTCTGAATCATTAAACCGATCATGACTCCACCTCTCCTTCTTATCTTGCCAGACTTTCTTCTTCTGTTCCTTGTCCTTCTCTAGCTCTGCCGTGTTCAAATTTGCACTAAAACAAAAAACCAACCTCGGTCTGCTATTCACGCCCAGTTGCCTTAATAACCACACACAATTACCACAAGTAAGTGAACCGTCTCAGACCGAGCACCGGAACCACGTGCATAATTAGTCAAAACTTACTCGTCGTCGATCGTCCTGTCGTCGTGCTCGTAAAAGGTGCCCCTTTTGGGGATATACTGCGGGTTCTTCTTGTCTTCGTCGTCGTCGACTTTCCGCGCCGGGACGCTCTCTTGCCCATCTCCGGACTCTCTTTCCAAACCCACGCTGCCTTCGCTCTCCGACTCCGTCTGATCCCTCGAGTTCCTGGGCCTCACTTTGTCCCTTTCCTCATCGCTGTAGCTGCCAGCGCTGTCGTACTCGGAGTCGTTCGGACTCTTCTGGTTCTCGTCGGCGTCGATCCGTGTTTTTTCCTGCAAAATCATACTTAAACTGAGCGCAGCTCGCACTTAATGGTTGTGCTCTACTTAATTTCTGAACTTGTGACCTGGTTTGTTACTTTTTTGTTAATATCTTTCTCTTTTTGTGGGAGCGAACGTGCTAATTGGAGAGGGGGTGAGGTTACCTGTGATATGTCTGCGGTGTTGGCGGCGTCCTGGGGGGCTGGAGGCGGCGCGACGGCCGTTTCTTCCATTTTATTCTTGCTTTCGAGGAATCTTGCTCTTGGCCGGAGTGGCGAGATTCGTGAATGGTGACGAGTGCAGACGTGCGCTAGGGTTGAGGTGCGGGTGATAACATGAGGAGGAAAGAAATGGAACTATTTGGGTTTGTTACGAGGATTACTCTTTGTCACAAGGTTTCAGAGGTTAGGTTATGTGAGAAACGTCAAAAGGTGACAGGGTAGAAGCGGGGGAATATTACTGGTTGCCTACATAACACAAGTTTAAATACGAATTTGGATTAAACATTTTATTTCTAAAAATTTAAAAAAACGCACAATTTTATATTATCCATTTACAATCTTTATATAGTAAAGTAGGTTTTGATATTTTTTCTTTAAGTTGGATAAACTGATTTGATGATTTAGTTTTTTGTCTGTCAGTAGTCTGATTGATATTTGCTTTGAGCTGGATTGCCACTTTTCTACTTCATTTATTACTATAAAAATTTACCATTTTGGACATGTTTTAAGTTTCTTGTTGCCGAAATAAGTCTACACATAATAAGAAAAAAAAGGCAAAATGTAGCCCCGCCCGCCCACCCTATGTCAATTGTGATGATTTTTTTTTATTCGTCGTTATCCAAGAGGGCAGAGCTGAACTGCAAAAATCCTGATTTCTCTACGAGAAATTAAAAGCATTTTCAGTTGTTCAAAGAATACTATGTACATCAAGAAAAATAAAGCCGAAGATTAGTAGGCCCCACTCACACTTTTCATTGGTTGTGGGGTCGAGGGGCGGGGCTTAATGGCAAGATCTATATTTTTATCTAGAAGAATTTACCATTTTAAACATGTTCTAGGTTTCTAAGAATTAAAAAAATCATCAGAATAGAGATTGGGTCGGTGGGCGGGGTTTATATTTTGTTTTTTTTTCCTTAATATACACATTATTCTTTGAACAACACGATCCTCAAAAACATGTTTTTAATTTCTTGTAAAGAAATAAGTGTTTTACAGTTAAGCTCCGCCCTCATAGATTCACGACGAATAAAAAAGTCATCACAATTGAGATAGGGCGGGTGGGCGGGCTGATATTTTGCCTTTTTGTTTTAATATATGTAGACTTCTTTTCATAACATGAAACGTAAAATATATTTAAAATGGAAAGTTTATATAAGGAAACATCAATTTTACAATTAGACTCCGCCCCATGATTGCAAAAACCATATTTCCTTGCAAAAATGTACCATTTTAACCATGTTTTAAGTTTCTTGTTGTCAAAAGATGACTATGTATATCAAGAAAAAAAAGGCAAAATATAGCCCCGCCCACCCACCCTGTCTCAATTGTAATGATTTTTTTTTATTCGTCGTGAACCAAGGGTCGGAGCTTAACTGCAAAATCCTTATTTCTCTACGAGAAATTAAAGACATGTTTTTGAGTAACGTGTTGTTCAAAAAATACTGTGTATATTAAGAAAAAGTTAAAGCCCCACCCATGCCTGCCCTGATCTAAATAGTAATGCAATTTTTATTTGTTGGCAGATCTAGGGGCGGAGCCTAATTGCAAAACCCATATTTCCTTACAAAAAATTACCATTTTAAACGTGTTTTAAGTTTCTAAGAATAAAAAAATCATCAGAATTGAGATGGGGTGGGTGGGCGGGGTTTATGTTTTGCCTTTTTTTTCTTAGTGTACGTAGTATTCTTTGAACAACACAATGCTCAAAAACATGTTTTTAATTTCTTGTAAAGAAATAAGTGTTTTACAGTTAAGCTCCGCCCCCATTGATTCACGACGAATAAAAAAAATCATCACAATTGCGATAGGGCGGGTGGGCGGGCTGACATTTTGCCTTTTTGTTTTAATATATGTAGACTTCTTTTCATAACATGAAACGTAAAATATATTTAAAATGGAAAGTTTATATAAGGAAACATCAATTTTACAATTAGGCTCCGCCGCATAATTGCAAAATACATATTTCCTTGCAAAAATGTACCATTTTTACCATGTTATAAGTTAGTTGTTGTGAAAAGATGGCAATGTATATTAAAAAAAAAGGCAAAATATAAGCCCCGCCCACCCACTCTGTCTCAATTGTAATGATTTTTTTTATTCGTCGTGAGCCAAGAGGGCGGAGCTGAACTGCAGAAATCCTTATTTCTATACGAGAAATTAAAAGCATTTTCAGTTGTTCAAAGAATACTATGTATGTCAAGAAAAATAAAGCCGAAGATTAGTAGGCCCCACCCATACTTTTCATTCGTTGTGGGGTCGAGGGGCGGGGCTTAATGGCAAGATCCATATTTTTATCTAGAAGAATTTACCATTTTAAACGTGTTTTAGGTTTCTAAGAATTAAAAAAATCATCAAAATAGAGATTGGGTCGGTGGGCGGGGTTTATATGTTGCTTTTTTTCCTTAATATACACATTATTCTTTGAACAACACGATCCTCAAAAACATGTTTTTAATTTCTTGCAAAGAAATAAGGGTTTTACAGTTAAGCTCCGCCCCCATTGATTCACGACGAATAAAAAAAATCATCACAATTGCGATAGGGCGGGTGGGCGGGCTGATATTTTGCCTTTTTGTTTTAATATATGTAGACTTCTTTTCATAACATGAAACGTAAAATATATTTAAAATGGAAAGTTTATATAAGAAAACATCAATTTTACAATTAGACTCCGCCCCATGATTGCAAAAACCATATTTCCTTGCAAAAATGTACCATTTTAACCATGTTTTAAGTTTCTTGTTGTCAAAAGATGACTATGTATATCAAGAAAAAAAAGGCAAAATATAGCCCCGCCCACCCACCCTGTCTCAATTGTAATGATTTTTTTTTATTCGTCGTGAACCAAGGGTCGGAGCTTAACTGCAAAATCCTTATTTCTCTACGAGAAATTAAAGACATGTTTTTGAGTAACGTGTTGTTCAAAAAATACTGTGTATATTAAGAAAAAGTTAAAGCCCCACCCATGCCTGCCCTGATCTAAATAGTAATGCAATTTTTATTTGTTGGCAGATCTAGGGGCGGAGCCTAATTGCAAAACCCATATTTCCTTATAAAAATTACCATTTTAAACGTGTTTTAAGTTTCTAAGAATAAAAAAATCATCAGAATTCAGATGGGGTGGGTGGGCGGGGTTTATGTTTTGCCTTTTTTTTCTTAGTGTACGTAGTATTCTTTGAACAACACAATGCTCAAAAACGTGTTTTTAATTTTTTGTAAAGGAATAAGTGTTTTACAGTTAAGCTCCGCCCCCATTGATTTACGACGAATAAAAAAAATCATCACAATTGCGATAGGGCGGGTGGGCGGGCTGACATTTTGCCTTTTTGTTTTAATATATGTAGACTTCTTTTCATAACATGAAACGTAAAATATATTTAAAATGGAAAGTTTATATAAGGAAACATCAATTTTACAATTAGGCTCCGCCGCATAATTGCAAAATACAGATTTCCTTGCAAAAATGTACCATTTTTACCATGTTTTAAGTTAGTTGTTGTGAAAAGATGGCAATGTATATTAAAAAAAAAGGCAAAATATAAGCCCCGCCCACCCACCCTGTATCAATTGTAATGATTTTTTTTATTCGTCGTGAGCCAAGAGGGCGGAGCTGAACTGCAGAAATCCTTATTTCTATACGAGAAATTAAAAGCATTTTCAGTTGTTCAAAGAATACTATGTATGTCAAGAAAAATAAAGCCGAAGATTAGTAGGCCCCACCCATACTTTTCATTCGTTGTGGGGTAGAGGGGCGGGGCTTAATGGCAAGATCCATATTTTTATCTAGAAGAATTTACCATTTTAAACATGTTTTAGGTTTCTAAGAATTAAAAAAATCATCAGAATAGAGATTGAGTCGGTGGGCGGGGTTTATATTTTGTTTTTTTTCCTTAATATACACATTATTCTTTGAACAACACGATCCTCAAAAACATGTTTTTAATTTCTTGTAAAGAAATAAGTGTTTTACAGTTAAGCTCCGCCCCCATTGATTCACGACGAATAAAAAAAATCATCACAATTGCGATAGGGCGGGTGGGCGGGCTGATATTTTGCCTTTTTGTTTTAATATATGTAGACTTCTTTTCATAACATGAAACGTAAAATATATTTAAAATGGAAAGTTTATATAAGGAAACATCAATTTTACAATTAGACTCCGCCCCATGATTGCAAAAACCATATTTCCTTGCAAAAATGTACCATTTTAACCATGTTTTAAGTTTCTTGTTGTCAAAAGATGACTATGTATATCAAGAAAAAAAAGGCAAAATATAGCCCCGCCCACCCACCCTGTCTCAATTGTAATGATTTTTTTTTATTCGTCGTGAACCAAGGGTCGGAGCTTAACTGCAAAATCCTTATTTCTCTACGAGAAATTAAAGACATGTTTTTGAGTAACGTGTTGTTCAAAAAATACTGTGTGTATTAAGAAAAAGTTAAAGCCCCACCCATGCCTGCCCTGATCTAAATAGTAATGCAATTTTTATTTGTTGGCAGATCTAGGGGCGGAGCCTAATTGCAAAACCCATATTTCCTTACAAAAATTACCATTTTAAACGTGTTTTAAGTTTCTAAGAATAAAAAAATCATCAGAATTGAGATGGGGTGGGTGGGCGGGGTTTATGTTTTGCCTTTTTTTTCTTAGTGTACGTAGTATTCTTTGAACAATACAATGCTCAAAAACATGTTTTTAATTTCTTGTAAAGAAATAAGTGTTTTACAGTTAAGCTCCGCCCCCATTGATTCACGACGAATAAAAAAAATCATCACAATTGCGATAGGGCGGGTGGGCGGGCTGACATTTTGCCTTTTTGTTTTAATATAAGTAGACTTCTTTTCACAACATGAAACGTAAAATATATTTAAAATGGAAAGTTTATATAAGGAAACATCAATTTTACAATTAGGCTCCGCCGCATAATTACAAAATTCATATTTCCTTGCAAAAATGTACCATTTTTACCATGTTTTAAGTTAGTTGTTGTGAAAAGATGGCAATGTATATTAAAAAAAAAGGCAAAATATAAGCCCCGCCCACCCACTCTGTCTCAATTGTAATGATTTTTTTTTATTCGTCGTGAGCCAAGAGGGCGGAGCTGAACTGCAGAAATCCTTATTTCTATACGAGAAATTAAAAGCATTTTCAGTTGTTCAAAGAATACTATGTATGTCAAGAAAAATAAAGCCGAAGATTAGTAGGCCCCA